ATAATGATTATTATCACAAATGATATTTCAAGTTTCTATTTTTATAAGAATCCTATTGAATGAATGAGTCTATTCATGGTCATTGAGAGGTATGAAAATAAGGAAAAGAAAGGAAATAAACAAAAACTTGAATACTCATGAGATATTCAGAGATAGTGAAAGTTACCAATGAAAATGCGCAAATCAGTTGCTATTTATAAGGAATTGAGTTAATTGGATCGATGAGGTGGTTCATGAGAGAGAAAGAGAATAAAATTTGTGTTCGAAACAATCATGTTGACTGAGATGATCGTTCCAAAGCTCAGAATTGGAAGGTATTCTTGTGGAATATTTTTCTTTCTTCTACTAACTAACTAACTTGACGATTCAATGGAATTAAATTAATACATAAAAACAAACATTAACTGAGAAGCCAAGGTAAAGATGTTCATGTCAATATCAGTGAGAGAATGACAAAAGGAAAAGATGAAGATGGAAAATGATGAAGAAAAAGAAGAAGCAAAAAAAACGAGAGAAAACAAGAAAATAAAAGGAAAAAAAGTTCAGATTATCATCTTCTCAGTGCTAAGAACTTCTATCATGACTCGACATCCTTTCTTCCTCACCCATTTATCATCTTTATATTCATTCACATTCCAACCTTCCATCTTCATCATCATCATCATTTCCTCATCACTTTCAGAATATAATTAATTTATTCATTTCTCTTTTTTTTTGCCTTCTCTTGCTATTCCATTAATGGTCTCATTGTTTATCTCCATGAATTCATATTATTATTGTCTGAATGAAGATATTAACCAACAATTGATTATAATGATTACATTGTCATGGTAAACAATCAATAATTTTGTTTTGTCTCAGGAATCTTATTGATCACCATGTAACTTGGGCTTATACAAGAATTTCAAATTAATCATTGATTATGAATAAAAAGTAACATGATAACAATTATAATGTTTTCCCTTCAATATTATCATCGGAATCTAATTAACATTTACATGATAACAACTTTTATCCTCTTCTTTTTGTTTTAACTATAATTATTTGCTCCCCAATTAATTACGATTATCATGTAATTAGTGATACGGTGATGATATACAACTAATCCTTTCATCCTAATGAGAAAATCAGAACAAAGGTTCAATTATTAATAAGAATCTCTCTCTCTCTCTATCTCTTATGTTCAGATTCACCATGAACTTGTAAGTTAGATGAGTTGTTCATTGTTTTCTCAATGTAAACAAAAGTTTATGACCAGAAAATGTTTACCTGAAGATGAAGAAAAAAGTTTTGGGTTATTTTTTGGGTTAATCTTTTGATAACCATTACCTGGAGTCTTTTTTTTGAGCTGAAACTTTGAATCTGTCATGTTTGTGATACTTTGATGAGCTTACCTGTCGTAGATTGTTACTATTGTCGTTCCTTGAGGAATATTATTATTATTATCTTATCATCCTCATGTTTCTATTTCATCAAAGTTTACACTCTGTTGTTACACTAGAATGAAAATCTAATCCTAAATTCATCAATCATTTCAGAACTTTTTCTTTCTCTCTTTTCTCTCATTCATCTTTACTGTTCTTAAGTTTTATCTCTCACTTGCTATTATCTGATTATTATTATTATTATTCAACTTATTGGCTTTACCTTTCAAGATGAAGGTGACAATGATCAGTATCTTTCAAGAATGGGACACAAAGTTTACTACAGAGAATTGTAAATATTGTGAAACTTTTATTTATATAAATTGACATATTTTCCTTGTGACTTTTTCATCACTTCAAATGATATCTCATCTTTTAGCAAGAGTTACCTGTTTTCTTTATCAATCATTTTACTGAATCAATTGAGATTCACCCTGTAATCATGATGAAATGACCGTTATCATGGTTACCTACTTGTATGGTCATTGAAAGGGAGACTCTTATAAACCTTTGTGAGTTTTGATTATTCAAATGTACATGATTGAACAATTTCATTGATCATCTCATTTTAATCAGCATTTCATCAGATTATCATGAATCTGCCTTCAGGATTAAATATGATTTTCAATTGTGCTTTTCATTGGTAATTAACTTGTACATATTAATATATTACTTGTTGACTATTGTTAGTAGTAATTAATTGATTGCTTGCTTGCAATTCACCTTTAGGATTGGTGATTTTTTTTGTTGCTCTTCACTTTTCCTCAGTTTTATCCAATTTGATGGTCAAAATGATAAACTGACCATCATGTATGTTGGCTAATGACTTTTTTGGCTATTGTTATCATACATCTTACATGTCCACTCATTGCTTTGTATCTACTTTTTTAGGTCAATGTTGAAGGAAATGACCAAAGGAAAGATGGACATTGATAGGAAGAGAAACAATTTCTCATTTGAGATTTATCATTATTGACAATCAGGTCAATATCCTTATAATCAAAAGTTAATTTCAACTCAATTTATATTATATTTATCTCGAGATGACCAGTAGTTTGCTACTATTATGCTTGACCATTTGTCATCACACTAAAGTTTTAGGTCATTATTGGATAGCTTTATAATAATAATGACCAACACATTCCTCTGGTCATCTCTATTTTTTTCAAGCATCAAGAAACATAAAGTAATATATATATATATAAATAAGTAACGATTATAGTTTGACTTGCTAAGAGGAATGGTCAATTCTGATAATGGTCAAGAGACAATTAGAAAAGTCCATTTATCTCAAGAGAGGCAAAGAAAGTTGAAATTTTCGAGCAAAGTTTTTTTTATCATCATGTTCCTTTTCATGGTCAGTATTGACCAATTGGAAAATGTTTATCTAATATATTACAGCCAAAGAATAGGGTAAAAATAATGTCAGGTCACCATTATCATTATCGGGATAATCGGAGGTTATTAGATTACAATAACTATTTGTACAAATAACGGTTTATACTTTTGATTGGTTTATCATTGAACCAATTTATTTATCAATATTATTAGGATGCTTTATATTTATTATCATCATTATTAATAATCACTTTCTCTCTCTCTCTCTCAGTTTTCATCTTCATCCTTATCGTCATTTTGGTGCTCAGAAGTTTGTTCAATGTTAAATTGAGTTTCTCTCTTAACAAGAGTCAATTTAATTAACTGATTTCTCAATGATTCTGATAAATAATAAGAGAGAGAGAGAGAGACAAACTCAGGGTCTAATCTAGAATCAGAATTTGTAAGATTATCTTCATCTTCCTGATCCTTTTTTTGTTCCTTCTAATTTGATATTAAGCAATCTCTCATTTCCAGATGATAAATTTTCTCAAATGATACTTAATCCTGACTATGAAGATAATACTAATCATCATCTTCATCTTGATCCTCCTTTACGAGTACGATGACAATGATTGTGATACTTATTGAATGTTGAAACCACTAATTGCTTAGGACAAATAATTAGGCTGAGAATCAAGTAAATACCCAAAGAATGAGATTGAAAAAGTTCATTCTATCTTCATCTATTCAGAATTGTATTAGAAAATTAATTGTTCCAACAATTGAATCAATCTGATTAATCTTATCAACTTATTGATTAGTTATTAACATTTACTGGGAAAGGGAAAAGTTATAATAACTTTTGATCGTAACCATGATTGAAACAATTAAAGTTAATTGCTTGTAGAATTGTTAATCGACACAATTGTTGGAATGAAAATTATTACAGAAACAACGATTGAAAAGAAAAGGAGAAATTTGAAAAGAAACAAAGTCACAAAATCGATAAAATCGAGAAAGAAGAAAAAAAAAGTTCTATTCTTAAAGAGAAGGAAACTTTTTTTTCTCTCTTCATCATCATCATCATTATCGTCATAATATTGTTTTTGGATGAACGTGAAAATTTTTCTGCTGACTAAGATGATGAGGATGCTACATAAAAGTAACCATGTTTACCCATGAGTATTCGGGTTTATCGTCATCATCTTCATCTTATTTCATCATCATTCCCAAAGTAAACATAAACTTCATCCTCATCATTTTCATTGGATGTATAATATTGTAACGATCATGCTGATGATGATGAAAAGATGATGAATCGAGTTAGATTTTTGTGTTTGTTTCGCTTTTCATTTGACTGGAAAATTTTTCCTTCTTAACCTACTCATACTCTCTAATCAAAGGCTCTAATCGCTATCATCTTGATCATCATTATCATCTTTATCTGGATCATTTGTCTTCTTTATCTTCTCCATTATTTTATCAAACCCTTTTAACCAATTCCAATGGTCCCTAGAAGATTTCAAAAGCTCCACTAGTCCCGTTACAAATTGATCTTGATGTTTCATCATCTTAATCATCATTTTTCATCCTTTTATCTGCATCATCATCTTTATCCTAATCTTTAGTTTCTTGTAATATTTTATTATCGAGAAAACTTGATGAAACTTTTTTTGTTTCTCTTTTCTTAAGCTCATGTTGATTTCTCAATCTCAAAACTTTTTCTTGTCCAACTCAACTTGCGATTTACTTGTTTCTTGTATCTTCTTCATGACGCCTGTCACAAGCTTGTCTTCCTATTCCTCAGATCTATGGTGTTGTCACCATGAACTTTTATTCCTTTTGGTTGAATGAGGTTGCTGGAAGAACAATGAATTCACTTGAATAAGTTTCCTGTCTCAAGGAGATTCTAATCTATCATTTCCAATGAAAATAATACTCAAGTTGAGGTGTTAATACGTAAGAACTTGTTGCAAAATGAATGAGAAAAAAAGTTCTACACAGTTTTCACCGAAAAATAGAACAATCTAAGTATTAGAATGAACAATTTATCGAGTTTAATTATTGAAAAAGAATCGAAAATTATTATAACATTTATTGGAAATCTAAGAGATTTAAAGTCCATGGAGAAAATTTTCCCATGAAAAGGAATGAAAATTTATCGAATTCATCTAAATTTCCATGAGATTAGATTCTCTCATGTTCTATGTTGAATTATTAATTCATGAGTATCTTTTTTTTCTTTATCAAATCTAGAATTCGAAAATGTTGGCAGAGCCTTTGGTAGAGGTACGGGTAAGCTGAAGTTGATAGAGTTTCGAATCATTTTCACCACTTCGAACTCTCAAATTGTCAATTATTCCACTTGCATGTTCAATGTTATTCCTAATCAATGTTTCTTTTCATCTAATTTCATGATAACAAAAGGAATGGGATATTATCTTGGTGAACCCTGTAACAAACAATGTAATGCAATATTATTTCATATTTACTGTAACACCACAAGCCATAGATGCGAGTGCCTTCCCGAGTATCCAGTTAATCTTGATAACAGGATTTGCATAAAGGGTAATTACTCACTAATCCAATTCAAAGATATTATCAGAATTTTGTCTAGAATTTTAAAACTTTTTCTTTATTATTTTTATATCAATCGAAGCCTTAAAATTAGGTGATAAATGTGATGATAACGTCTCATGTCAATATCGAGATATGCACGCAATTTGTTCACCTGAGAATCGCTGTCGATGTGATTATGGCTTTTATCCGGTCATAAGTAAAATGGGGACACCAAATGTACTGCAGGTAAGTTAACGTTTGATTATCGATTTGATTCGAACTACAAAAATGGAAAATTTTCTAATCATTTTGATTTCTTTATTCAATTTTCGATTTTCATTATTTAGGACTATCAATGTACTATAATCTTGTTGGTTATTCTAATATCGTGCCATTCATAGCTATCGTAATTGCTATTATCCTTTGTACCGGAGTGGTTTGTATTGGTTATCGGATGATCGGGAAGTATGTTTGTCTTTTCATGTCACTGTTTTGCTCCTTATATGTGTTTATACACTTAGCACCAAGTTCGAGGTTACAATTTCACCTAGACTTTGCTCCATCACTCGGATAGTTCTGACCTTTCTTGCACCTCTTTTTCGAGTTTATATTAATTGGATTTCCTTTGATTTCTTTCTCTATCTCTATAAGATCACATAATGAAAGCGCTCTACCGTCAAGGGATGATAGGGCTCTTTCCCCGACGCCCGTTAAGCTTGGAGGTTTAGAGCTACTTGCGTCCATGTCAAGACCATCAAGCCTTAGATCCATCAGCAATGAATACCTTCCAACATCACGGAGACCGAGCTACTCAATGTTAGCAGTACCTACCAATTTTAGTGAGTAGTCGATCTGATTAAACACTTCAAACATGAAACTGCAAACTTAACCCTCGCACATCGATTTGTTTGTGTTTATGTTATTTTCTTTTTATCTATTAGAAAATTTTATCGGTTTGAGAATCTAAGCTTTTTTGGTCTATTTTCTTTTCTTTAGTATCTAGAAGACCGAGCTCATCATCTGGAACATCCTTTCGAAGCTATTCTTCATTTCGAAGTCAATCCTCTTTTCGAAATTATCGAGGAAACTATTTCTACAAGGAGACACTAAAGAACAATTCACCTCGAACTCCATCGCCTATTATTAACCCAAGTAATATTTTCATAGGTGATTCGCTGTCCAAGGTGAGTTAAAGATTAGATTTTTCGATTTTCTCGAATGTACAAAGAAAAAAGTTCTAATCCATTTGTTTCTCTCAAATTTTATTGTAATGATAATCTACAGGAAACTTGTGCAATCCACTCGAACCCGGAAATAAATCGTTCTGATAATCACAACAGACGAAATCGTGATCAGGAAGCTTTAAATCGTCGATGAAAAATCGCAAACTTTTACGATCATTTTCACGAAATTCATGGGACTGGAAACGCATAGAAGAGCATTAATTGTTACAATTTATCGAGTTCCTTTGTAAAAAAAAGAAAATTCTTATCACTGCCGAAGAGAGAAAAGTTTAAATAAATATTATTCAATTTTCCGATAATTTTATCAAATGGCAAAAGTAATTCGTAACTTTTTTGTTCTATTCGTTTATCAACTTATCACTTTTCGCACTCATAACTGGTAAACTAAAAATCAACGATTTAATTTGATTGAATTAAACATTTCGGGTCTCAATATACACTGTTTTCGATTCCGAGAGTTCAGAATCGGCCTAAGGAATAAGAGAGAAAGAGAAAGATGAGAGGAAAGAGCGAGAGAAAGGTAAAGAAAGCAAAATGGCGGAACTTTTTTGATTCTTTCTTTTCGATTTGAGGTCAACAATCACCAGAACATGCAACGGATGATGGATGATAAACATGGATTAATAATGAGAAGATAAAATATGAGAAAGTAAATAGAGTTCAGTTGATCTCTTCTCGTTATTGTTTTGCTTTTAGAATCGAGAAATTTTTATAATAATCCTCATGCTTTCGATTCTTTAACAGATTTGGCCTGATTAGATGGTACCACGGGTCTTTTTGCGAATCCATTGAATGCCGATCTGTCGATTTCATCGAAATTTCTTTTACCCACAAAACCGGTGAAACCTGAATTATCAATCTCATCGAAATTACGTTTATAAAATCCTGTGAAACCGGAAGAATCGATCTCATCGAAATTTCTTCTACCCCGGAAACCAGTGAACGCTTGCCGATCAATTTCGTCGAAATTTTTCTTATCATCTTTGTGTAGATTTGTTGTTAGTCCAACAGGATACAAATAGTAACCCGATGGGGTTAATTGTCGAATGTAATATTGTCCAGTTCGTTTTCCACTTCCAAAACCGGAGAAACTACTACGATCGATCTCATCAAAGTTTCGACGACCACGGAAACCAGTTAATCCTGACCTGTCGATTTCGTCAAAATTTCGCTTCCCTGTGAACCCAGTGAACGCTTGTCGGTCAATCTCGTCAAAGTTTCGCTTCCCAGCAAATCCGGCGAATGCTTGACGATCAATTTCATCGAAATTACGTTTTTCAGGCTGGCCAGCAAATTCTTCCGAACCTTGGACACTTCGAGCACTGAAGTGAAAGAAAAAAAAGAAAAAAAATCAACTTTTTGTTCGAAAAATACAAATCGAACATCAAAAGAAAAAAGTTCTCTTTTTACAACACTAGATGTCACATTCTACTGCACATGAATGTGAATTCTCGATTCATGGTAACATTGAATTCACCATCATGGTAACACCATCTATCCATGGAATTGAAACTCTTCATGAGATATAAACTTCCAATGGATTGAATATCGGTCCAAACCCTCAGAATTTTCACTTTCAACATGGAAAATGAGTTTCCCTGAACTGATATTGAATCAATTATTTCAAGAATGATGAGAATTCGGAAATTATGAAATAGAATCTAAATCAACAATAGTTATCTCCCAATTGTGAATATTTTTATCTCAACAGCAATCTAATTTATCATATTTTCATTCCAGAATAATGATAATAAACTGAATGGAAATTAAAGATGTTACAATCAGTTTCCAATCTATTATCATAGTGGAAATATCAATCAACAATTTCAGGGTAATAATAACATAAGCCATCAGTGAATTGAAAGATAACATTAAATTTATGGTTTCATGAAAAGAGATTTAGAATTGAAAAGATTTTCTCTTCAAATTCTGATTGAAATTTCATGATAACTATTATATTAAGATGACAAGGGAAACAAATAAGTTATCAAGTTGAAATGTTTATCAAAATCTCAGGACAATCAACTAAATTGTTATTAAATAATTCATATGAGAGAAATTCAAAAAGTGAAAAGTTTTAATTCAATTTCAACGGAGAAAAGTTTTCAATAATTTAGTTGAAACTCATAAATACATGATATTGATTCAGTTCATTTCACCAAGAAAAAACTTATAAGGAGAAAAAATTTTCATTACCAAATCAATCAATCAAACTGTGAAAGGTAAGGTGATGATTCTGATCATTATCATGAGGGGAAAGGGAAATTCTGTAATTTATATTACTACTTCCGGTTCTAGGACTGAGATGATTACAACTTCCTTAAACTTTAGATTCCAACTGAGCAATGATGATGAAAATGAATCTGAAAAAATCATGAGAAAACAGCTGAACAACTGAACTTCAGGTGAGAGGATGTGGAGAAGATGAAATCACTAGAATTGATGAAAGAAAATGAAATCAATGAATTCCTGGTAGGAATTGAACTTTCGTTCCGTCGGTTGAGATCATTGGACTTGATATAATCTCTTATTATCCTGGAAAAAGTGAAACCATTGGAATTAAATCTTTAAACGATTCTCTTTCTCTCTCATCATCTTCTGAACATTTTCCCCCCAAAAGTTTACGACAAAACTCAGAATTCTCAGAATTTTATCAACTCTTTCTTTCCCCGTTCTCAGTTGTTGGTTTTCCATCAGAAACAAAACTCTAAATGAGTAAATCTTTTTCACTTCTCTCCCCTGTAACTAAATTCATCTTCTCACTGGTGGCAGTGGAAGAGGCAGAATTGAACTTTCTATTACATGGAGATGATGATGAATATCAACATGAATTATGGTTGAATAAACTAGATACTAGTTAATAAGATTGTGAATAATATGTTTGTGATATTTAATCACAACTACGGACTAAGATTACTGTTAATTCAATTAAATTGATAATATATGTTAACGGAAATTACTGTAATTTAAATATGATTACGCTGATATGATAATCATGATAATTATGATTGAAGATGAGGATAAACATGGGATCAGTTTTACATGTGTCAGATATTACATGTTGATCCTCATTACATGGGAAAATTTCATTCAGTTTACTATCTAATTCAGTAAATAAATGATTCTGTTGATGAACATGATGAAGAAGAGAGAAGAGAAAAAAAAAATTAACTAAAAATGCAACAAATCAAATAAACTATTAAACTTGATTACTGATTAATCCCAATGAAAGATTATCAACTAATAAATACTGTTAATAACTCAATTAACTGATCGTTTTAAGGGTAAATAAAATAATCGTCATCTCATATTAATTGATTTCCTTTAGATTCATGATAATCATTGAACATTAACAAAAACTTTCACATTTAGTAAAATTCAATGATAATCCTTTCGAGAGGATTAGATGATATAAAATGAGGATTAAGGTGGAAGACTTAATCATTGTAAATCTTTTGTGTAAGATTACAAATCTTACATATTACTGAACTTTTTTTTTCTTCTATCTGTTGAATTTACTAATCATGCTCTCTCTCTCTCTCTCTCTCTCTCTTTCGCTCATGGGGATTGAGATTAACTTTTAATACCTTCGTTTGGATGAGCCCACAGTCCAGCCCGACATTGAATCAGGTCCAGCTCGTTTATTGTCATCGTTTTTATTGACCTTCACTGTCCAATAGTAATGGTCAAGGTGATTTTCTTGTTTTACTTGATTCCATCGAGTAATTAAATCGGATTCATTTAAATCATTCAGGGTTGAACTAATTAGACCCTTTGATTGTTTCTCAACTAATCTGAGTAAATCGAGACTCGATAATCCAGCCAATGAAGCTTTGTCCATACTTTGGTCTAGAGAATTGGTTTCATGAATAAGAGAGAAAGAGATCAGAACGATAAGAATTGACCATAAGTGGCTATTTGACCAGTGAGAGTATGTAATCTCAGATTTGGACACTGGTCAGTATTTGAGTTAAACATGATAATCTAATGAATAATAAGATTCGAGTGGTTAAGTTACCTGGATGAATATTATCAAAGAGAAACTGAAAATAAACCTTAATGATTATCACAATGATGATCATTTCAACTGTTATTCTTTGGCTATGGTCAGTTAATGGTCATCTATTTTGCTTGCTTTTTTTTCATTTTAAGTTGATCATAAAGAAAACAAATAACATGATAAAATGAACAATTCAACATGAGGAGATACAGAAACTATTATTTACTATTAGATTATTATTATTATTATTATTACAAGAAATTGCTTGTTACTTGTTAATAATGACAACGAAATGCTGGTCAATACAACTGACCAACACATCACATTCAATCAACACACATCTCTCTTAACTTTATGAGTGACCAATTCATTGGATTGAAAATATTAATGAAAAAAATAAAAAAATGCTCAAGCTAAAGGTAATCAAGATTCACTTACCTTTCATATTGTTGATTATCTGACTGATTAATCCTTTGGTTAGTGGATCAAGCAGATTGATTAACAATTTACCAGGGATTAAATGAAGAGTACCATTTTCAACCAAATCATCAATGAAACTTTTACCTGTTCGGTATGAGGTGGGTTTGGATGAGGACAGGGTGGGTTGGGAAGTTACCTCCTGGTAAATGAAAAGTGGGTTAAAATGATAACAATAGAGATTAAAGATTAGTGATTTAGTATTACAATCAACAAGCAAAAAAAGGTAAAAGTTAATCTCCTCTGTAAATAAGTGATTAAATTTTGATTGTCAAGTGAAATAAAAACACAAAGTAAACAATTAAGGGTACAGAAAGTTATCAACAATACAGTTTAAGGGATAATTTTTAAGAAAACACAAAACAATCAAGTTAATTGCCAATTAAATAACATTTAATTAACTATTCATTTGTGTACGTATTATTTACTAATCCTAATCGATTCAGTTAATCCTGAAAATATGGTGATCACATTTTTTCAAATCTCTAAATTTTGATCAATTATAATGAGAGTTAATTGGTTTAGGATTAAAATACTTAATCTTTTTGCATGGAAATTGAATGAAAAAAATCATAATCCTTAATCTTTAATCAACTTTACATTCAAATCTTTAACATGTTAATCTGGTTTCTAAGTATTTTGTTAAAATTATCATGAAAATGTGATTAAGTTTTTCTCAATGAAATCCAACCGAACTGAATTGAGATTTAGAACCAGAATTAACTGATTATTTTTCATATGCTTTTTTTGTGATTATCATTATTGAAAATTTCGATAGGACTGAATCGGTTATTGCTCGATAACGAAGTGAGAAAATGGAATCCAAGCCATTTAGAAAATGAGCCGAATAGAAAATCGCCAAAATGGTTTAAGCCGAAAATAATAAACTAATTAACCTTTGATCATTATGATATACGTTTTATCTGTTCGTATTACAATTGTCATTAATGACTGCAAAGGATAGCACCATGCAATCAACCTCGATATCAAATTATCACATCGAAATTTAGGAATTTTTTAAACAAAATAATGAACCAAAAATATTGAGAATCGAAAAGTTTTTTTTTCGAATTTGCAACAAAAAAATGTTCGTTTCAAATTAATCTCAGCGGATAATCTATAATTCAGCTAAAGATTTGTAAAAAGTTGATTCATTGGATGAAATGTGAGAAGATAACTTGATATTCACCAACGATAATGTTAGTTGAGAGGTGAGGTCAATTTCTCTGGTCACTTGAGACCAGATTAGTTGGGAATTATCACCATCAATTGTCATAAAGAACGAGAGAAATTAATAATACGAAATTCTGTTTTTAGATTGACACCATTGGGAATTGATGGATTAATTATTTTGAGTGATTTCGATTCAATGAGAATGTAAATGTATCAGGAAATTCATTTAGCTTAATCTTTTCTACCCTTTATTTGGAAACTCCACCCTGGTGAAATTTTGGAATTTTTTCCTATCAGAATTGTTGAGAAGAGAAGTTTCTTTTTTATTCTATTTTCTCATTATTTTTTTTTCTCCCTCTCTTTCTCTCTCTCTTTCTCCTCAGATGAGGATAACACCCTATTAATACCCTGCATCATGTGTGTGAGTTGATTGATTCAATATCTGAACGATAATTGTCTTGAGTACTTCTGAGAAGGATTCAGATCAATTCTGTTACAGAACTTTAGTTTTTTCTCCTTTCGTCTTTTTCTCATGAAATGTTTTCATATCGAATTTTTTTTCTTCTCCTTCATTTTCATCAACAACGAACAATAACCAAGAATGAATGAGAGAGAGAGAGAGAGAGAGAGAGAGAGAGAGAGAGAGAGAGAGAGAGAGAGAGAGATATGAAGGTGAAGAAAATTTCATCGAACATTTTGAATGTGAAAAAGAACTTTTTTCTTCCTTATTTTCTTCATTCTCTTCTATTACTTAAAGTAATCATGATAGAAATTTAAAAGTTTGTCATGATCACGATGAACAATTCGATCTTATGTTATTTCCATTGATAACAAACTCTTAGAACTTTTTTTTTCTTTCCATCCAAAAGTGAAAGACTATTTTAAGTCTCTACTTCAAGAGAAACTCTACTCCATGAAACTGAACACAGATACACAACTGAACCTCTTGAAGAAAAAAATTCTGAAACTTTTGTTTTCGTCAACTTATCATATTCATTGATTATCATGAATCCATGAGATCATAATAGTATCACCATGATGATGATCGACATCGTCATTATCATCATCATTATCATACTATAATCCACAGGTAAAGAATATGATTCTCGTTGGATAACAATTTACTCAGAAAAGATTTAAAAACAAGACAGAAAAGGATTTAAACTCTACTCTGAACTTTTCTTCTTATCCTTACCTTTTAATGTTCAGTGATATTAGGATTAAGTTCAGGTACAATTTCACCTTAAATCTCAAGTAAATATCCATATCTGGTTAATTCTGAATGAACAATTGAACCATGGATAAGAGATTGTAAAAACCTCCAATCAATCACCATGAATCATGTATTTGATTTATGATCAACAAGAATTGAAGCTAATTTTACCTTTTCCAAAATCACCATGATGATAATTGAATTGTGACTTATTGTTATTATTATTACTTGTTAGACAAACTGAATCCCCATGTGATTATCACATCATTATGATTCCAAGTTGATAAATTCTGGTTCATAAGGGAAACAAGAACAAAAAAAAAAGTTCTGTTCAAAATTCAGCAAACACCATGAGAGAACCTGTTCAACTTTACCCTGTGTATGTGTATATATATGGATAAGAAAACTTTATCTATACACATTGAAATATAATATGAGAACTTTGTTTTTTTTTCTTCTATTCTGAATAGTTACCATGATGATGATGAATTTTTATTCTAATAAAAATAGAGGAAAAAATTCTGAACAAAAGTTGAGGATAAAATTAAATACTCGGAGTTTATTGTATATAAACACATAAATATTATTACCTTAATGACAATGTTGATGTTCATGGTGATGGTGGTGAGTGGGTGGAGGTGGTGGTGGTGGTGATAAAGTTGTTTTTGTAATACTAATAATGAAAAGTAATAAAAATTAAACTAATCATGTTAAAAAAAATTCCTAACCAATTATATTACCTGGTGGATATTTTATTTCATATGTAATAATAATATTTCCCACCTCGGATTCATGTTTGATGATTATCATGAATTCTGGTAATAAAAGTTTATCATTTATTATGTATCATTATCATGATGGAAGATAAGAAATAATCTGTTCCAAGTTCCGGTTGATTCATGATAACGATAATATCATCATGATGAACAATAAGTTTGGTGCGAAATTTTTTTCAATAGAAAAAAAATTAAACTTCTTTTCTTTTTTGTTCAATGAATAGAATGAACTTTTTTTTGTTATTCAATGAGAATAACAATCTACCTGTTACTTTTATTCAATTCGAACTTTTTTCTTTCTCTCTCTTTCTTTTCGTTCTTTGTTTGTGTCAAGTTATCACTTCGTTGTTTGTATATGAATTATTTTATCATGAATAAAGGGTAAGTGTTGATGGAGTTTTGTTTTTCTTCAGGGAGAGAAAACTGAAAGATTCAGTTATCACTTTTGTTCTTATGGAATTGAAATTTCGTTTTTTTCCTTTCTACTCCATGTAAATCTACTTGATGTTAAATCTCTTGGAAATTGTTTACAGGGTGAGAGATTAGTGAGAGAATTTGATTAATACAAAATGAACGATGAGATTAATGATATTAGATTGTGATAATTAGAGAGAGAGAGAGAGAGAGAGAGAGTGTGAGAGTGAGATTGGAAGAGACTAATTCTTGTTTCATGGTGAATATCCAATGCTGAAAAGTTTTCTATCTCTCCTCTTATCAATCTATTCATCAGCATTTACATGGTGATAAACATGAATCATCGTCATCATGTTCATGAGATAATCATGTGAGAAAAAGCATAAGTGTTATTTTTTTTCATCGATATTCATGTCTGAGTATTTAAAGTAATTCAGAGGAAGAGTTTGGATTATTAGAACTACGATTTTTTTAAGCTTAGCATTTGATTCAGTTGAATTTGTGAAATTGATAGTTGAACAATTGGTGAACTTTATACTTTCATGTTGACATTAATATACACATTGAATGATAATCAGTGAGCAGATAATATGATTATCATTGAAAAAGGAGAAAGAATCAAGTTAATGTGATTATATCTGGAATTGAGTTTCAATTGGTGAGAGAAGATGAAAAATCTTTCACCATGATGATGATAAACACCATGAGTGTTGTTAATAGATATCATGATTTGATAGAATTTGGAAAGAAAAAAGTTCTCTTTAAATGAGATTAACTGGACACAACTGGACAATTACCATTTCTCCGACAAAGGTCAATTCCAATTCTAATCAAAGATAAACATGAACTTTTCCAATTCTAAATCAGTTATCATGTTTAACCAACAGCAAATACAAAAAGTTCAATTTCAATGGTAAATCTCATGGACAAAATTTGAAGAAAAAAAATTTCCCCCAACAATTAGTTAATCAGTTACTCTATTGGTCCAACCATTTGATTTGATTAGTCTGTGTCTCCATTACAATAAAAGTTAAATTGTTTGATAAATTGTTATATATTTATCGTTGGTTTATTTAAATTAATATTTGTTTTTGTTAATCATTATGGTTTATCAAGTTAAATTGTTACTATTAACGGAAATTAACATAATTTAACCATTGATTTAATTTAATTAACAGGTAGATTGCTTGGTTTTATATATAACATTTAATTATCAGAAAGTGACATAAATTGTTACAATTTAATTGTTACTTTAAACTCACAAAAATTTCTGTTGATTAACTTTGATCACAATTAACGATTGTCATTTTTCATTCTTAATTGTTGTCAACTGGAATCTTTTAATTTTCTTCACAATTAAGATGATGATTAACAATTAACCAAGGCAAAGAAAGAGGAAATCAAAGACTTGCTAATTAAATCAACTTTAATTGCTGGAAAAATAGTTTATTTATTAAACTATTTCAAGACAATTGATTTAAAAGACAATAGGAGTTTAATGATTAACAAACAATTTAAAATAAACTTTTAATTAAGTTGATTGTTAATGTAGAGCTTGATTTTTATTGATTAAGTTAATCAAATTAATTCTGTTAATCTAATTGTATTCAGTAAATTGTAAATTGCTTTGGTACCTTTTGATTGTATATAAGATGATCAACTTTAACTGAATTAACAATCAAGATAATTATAATCAGAATGGTAAACATTTTAAATCAAATTATCATCAAATCAACGAGAATCACAACAATTTACTGATTGTCATTAACACTGATCAAGTTGATTAAAAGGTTAACAATTTAATCAACAAGCAATTTAATTGATTAACATCTGATTCGTTTCTCATGATTAAAAATTTTCTCGTTGAATTTAACTTTAATTGCTTTCTTGATTACGATTGGATTAAGAGGGTCTACTAATCACAATTAACTAATTTTAAAGCCCATTGATAAGGTTTAAGGTTAACTCCAGTGATTTAGTTAATTGTAACAATCAATTTAACCAAATTATTTACTGGAAACGTTTTATCATTTATTACATTATCATAACAATTGATTGTTGATCAAAATTGATAAAATCAATTTAATGATTAAAAGTTAACCATGTTTAAAGTATCAAAAGTAATACATTGAAAAGTTAATCAGTTAATTGTTGTTGTAACAATTTACTTGTTCTGGTTGTGATTAAGATGATTTAAATGAGATGAAGGATTTTGTTAATGATTAACTTGATAAATTAACAATTAATTTACTTTTACGAGATGAAATTAAATGAACTTTTTTGCTTGCTGATAATTGTTACCATGTGAAAATGAATTTAGTTAATTGTGATTAAATCTGATTAAATTGTTGATTGTGTGTAAACAATTAACTCTCTTGAAACAGTTCAAGTGCCATTGAGAGTAAACAATTTGTTGAATTAATTTTTCTTTACCTGTTGATGATACAAATAAACACTTGAAACAATTAATCAACTTTACCTTGATTAACAATTAATTTCAGTCTTTATATCAACAGCAATTAGTTAATTTTGAGGCAACAATTTAATTCAAACTGACCAACAATTTAACAGATTAAAATTGAGAGCGTTTAATTGTTATCATCAATGTTTAGTGATGAAAATTGAACTTGATTGATTGTTAATTATTCTGATACATTTGATTGATGAGAATGATTAATTTCCCTTGATGAATTAATAAATTGCTTAACTTAATTGTTATCCAAACTCTTGTGTTGATATTGATTAACTTGATGAACTTTAGTTTTTGGTATTAATTTTTTTGTTCATTTTTTTCCCATTGAGCTGATTAACTTAATTTAGATATTGATTAACTTAATCAACTGAGACTCTCTTGTACATTTAAATTATCTTAACAGTCTGAGGCACAATCAGTAAATTGTTAACCACTTTGATTAACTAACTAACAGTACAATTGGTTTATTATCAAAGTGCAACAATTAATTATTAAATCAAGTCGCTAATTAAATTAACCATGATTATAATTGACTTTGAAAATTATTCTCATCATCAACAATAAGTAATCATAAATTAAATTAATACCAAATAATTAATAACCAAGACACAATTTAGCTTAACAATTAATTTGATTGTCTCTCCCTTTACCACTAATTAGTTAATCTAGACAATTTAATCCAATAGACTAATGATAATAATCATAATCATAATCAAGTTCAATGGACCTTTAGTTTAGTGGACAATTTAATCAACCATTAATTAACCAAAGACAATCAACTTAATCACATCAATGGTTAACTTAATTGTCTACAAACATAAAAGTTTAATTAATAGAAAAACTCAAATCAACATTGATCATTAAACCAAATTAAAAGTTTCTCGGATCATTCATAACAATTAACTTTAATCCAGTTTAAATTGTTTATCCTTTTACCTGTTGAAATTAATCATAAATTGTTATGGTTAACAATTAATTATTTTAATTGTTAATTTATTATCATCATAATAGTTGATAATTTATTATAAGAATAATAAAAAATTATTATTATAACTTTTAACCTTTACTAATATTAATTGTTAATTTAAATTAATCCATTAAATTTATTTATGTATTAATACAATTAAAGTGACAAATAGTAACAATTTAATTAAATATAAGGTAAACCATCATAAAATTGTGTCTAAATTGTTAAATCATCATTGTGACAATTAGACAGACAGAAAATTAAATGTTACAATAATAATAATGATAATATAACCTTAATTTGATTCTTGTTGATATAAATTATTTTCTAATGGTAACAATTTAAGTTACATCATTATTGCTTCAAGCATTAGAATCAAATTAATTTTATATTATCATGTTAATTAATCAGCAATTAACTGATGACATTGTGGTTTTACCTGTCAAATTAAACGTTAATTGTTACATGAAAGTAAAAGCCTTTAATTGTTATCATTTTGGTGATAACAATTTAAGATTTACGGTTGAATGTAAATAGTTGATAACTTTTTGTTATATTTGATTGTTGATTGTTGATTGTTGACTTAATTTCTTATTATCAACAAAGGTTTCATGATAATTTCATCATTTATTGATTTATTTTTTGATTAAATCACATTTAGATTTGATTAGGAAGTTTGGAAAGTTTTTTTTTTGATTAAAATAAATAAATTCAATTGATTAATCTGATTGTTGATATTTGATTGTTAAGATGATCAATTCATTCATATGATAAAATGTTGATTTTAAAATCAATTGATTAACATTTTAATCTAATTGTGATTGGGATCATTTAACTTCTTGTTTAATTATTGTGATTGTTAAATTATTCCGATTCAATCGTGATCATGAAAATTTAATCTAATTAGTAAATTTTGGCGATTTCATCCTGTTGCTAATTAACTTTGATGAGTTTAATTGAAGATTTTATTTCACTAATGACAATTAAATTTACTACTAATTGTTTCCTATTTTCGTTCATTTCAATTGCTACAAATAAGATACATTGATTTGGATGATTAAGTAATTGCTTTGATACAAATAGACTATTTCGATTGATTTTCTAACAAATTAGTTAATTATGATCACAATTAACTCAATTAATTTGTCTCTTTCTTTAACAATCACTTGTATTTGAGTTTATTTTCAAAGTCAAACTAATTTTTTTCCTAATATAAAAAAAATCAATAGCTAATTGATTGACTTACATAAGGAACAAGATAATTAAGTAACAATTAAGCAATAAGGGGGAGGAATATCAAAATGACAACAATTTAACAGGAGATTTTATGATTAACATAATTAAGGTAACAAGCAAAAACAGTAACAACAATTAGTTAAGACTTACAATGGTATTAGTAGCGGTGGTGATGGTGATTATGGTTAAATTGATTACGATTACAATCATTATCGGGCAAGTATATTGAAAATACATGGTTAGGCTGTTTGAGTGATTTAGCCAATTGTAGCGTTTAAATTGTCAAAACAAAATTTTTAGTCTCGTAAAGTTGATTAAGATGATTAATTGGATGCCTGGACTTTGCTTTGAATGTTGTAATGAGTTTATGGGTGATGATTAGTTTACAAGTGATTTAAATCACAGTTTTAAGAGAAAGAGTTGATTAGATGTGTTGGTTTGATAATTTAGATTCGATTAACTTTCAGAGAGTTTGTAAAGGTTTGATTTAAGTCAAAATTACTATTCTGATGATTGGTAAGTTTGGAAGACTTTCACTAACTGTGCTTTTCTTTGATTCTGCTCTCAGGATTTTTTTTTTCCTCTTTATGATGAAAATTGAACATTATGTTTATTATCAACTGAACAGGCGTAAAGGTGAAATTAAGTTGATGAAAAGGTTGAGGTTAATCTTCAAGAATCGGGCGGAAGTTGCCCTCCCGCTATCATCAGTGCTCGTTCTGCTGCGGCATCTCTTGCGTTCATTCGTGCTAAAGCCTCGGCTTCTTCTTGTGGTGTCATTTTACGACGACGCATTCGACGATTATTACCACCGGTACCTCTTCTATTATTGAAGTTATTGTTTCCACCCCTTTCAGCGGAACCACCTCTAGGCTCGAATCGAGGTCTTCTAAAGTCATTGTCATTTCCTCCTCTTCCTCGGTCAAAATTTCCTCTTCTTCCTCCAAAACCACCACCAAAACCACTGACTCCTCGGTCAACTGAACCTCCTCTCGGCTCAAATCTTCTCTGCTCACCGATATTACTACCTCTTCCTCGGTCAAAATTTCCTCTTCTTCCTCCAAAACCACCACCAAAACCACTGACTCCTCGGTCAACTGAACCTCCTCTCGGCTCAAATCTTCTCTGCTCACCGATATTACTACCTCTTCCTCGGTCAAAATTTCCTCTTCTAACATCACCGCTAAACCCTCTGCCTCCTCGTTCAGAAGAGTCACCACGATGTTCAAATCGGCGAGATTCATTATCAAATCTTCTAGAATCATTGTCGAATCTTCTTTGCTCATTATCAAATCCTTCTCTCCTATTCCCACCGAAACCAATTCCTCCTCTTTCAACTGATTCTTCTCGAGATTCCGATTTTTTTTGCTCATCTTCACTATCTCTCCTTGATCGATAAAGTCCTCCTCTTCCTCGATCGTGTCTAAATCTGCTATTGAAACTTGCACCGTGTCCACCAATAAAATCATTAAAGACTTGGCCTTCCCTTTTAACGAAACTTTGAGGTTCATCTTGAGCTATCGAAAGTCCAGGAATAGATTCTTGCTTGTGACGGACAAATGAAAAATCATCTCCAATGATAACTGGTTCATCTTTTTTGGTGGTAATATTTTCTTTACTTGGTAAACCAGCAGAAGTAGGCACCAATATAGCAGAAATCTCCTTATCAAACTGCTTACAAAAAAAATTATCAAATCAACAATACAAGAGTAAAAATGCAAAGAAAAAGAAAAACCAATTAGATAATTCTCACAAAAAAACAACAACCAATTACACAATTAACTCACATCTCGCATATTAAAGGCACTACAAGCGGCAGCTTCCAGGGCTTCCAAGATTGAACCAACTTTCCTTTTCAAAATAGGCTCCATATTAAATCTTAAATTTAACCGGTAAAAAAAAAGAAACCAACAGGTTAGAAGACCAAAAGATAAACAACAATCAATGAACCACAGATAAACTTTAACCTAAAAGAAAGAAAAGAAACTGATTAATCGATCAACCATATAAATAGAACAATAAATAAGTAACATAATTAAAGAGAAGACAAAAAGATTAATTTAATTTAAAAATGAACGGAAAAATTAATAGAAGAAAAATTTTTGTTGACAATGCAAAGAGAAAGCGTCTCCATGGTAACCGTTGGGGGGAAATTCAAAAGATTAAAAGGAAACAATCAAAATCGAAAAAATTAATTGGTAATTTATACAATTAACTCTAATTAAAAGTTAACCAATAGAGAAGAAATTTTCTTTCAACTGGATTTTTTTCTCTATGATTAACTAATTGTGTTGTTTAAACAATAATAAAATGATTTGTTAGAAAATCATTTGATTGGTGAAAATTTGGCTTAATCTAAATCATGATCACAATTAATTAATTTTGATCTCAAGTTTCATTCTTAATAAGTTTGAAAGTTTAATTGTTTGAAAGGTGAATAAAAAGAAAATCGTAAATATGATCAACGATTTAAAGTAAATTGTTAACAGTTAACAATTAATACTTTTAATTGTTAATCATCTTGCTTGGTATTTACTGAAAAACAAAAGGATCCAAATTAATTATAATTTGGTTCACTAATCAAGGTTAGTTAATTTTGATTTTTTGTTCACAATCAAATTAAACAATATCAATATTAATATGATACAATTAACTTGATTATCAATTGAACGAAAAAAAAACAATATTTTTTCACTTTAATTGTCAATGATAATCACAAAAGATTATCATTGATTAACATAATTCATGTTCATTAGTTAATTGTGTTTATAACAATCAAACTCTTGAGAAGTTAAATTTAGATGATAATTTGTTGATTGTTGATTTTTTTTTTCTTGTTTCCTGATTTGATTGTTTCTCACAATTGTGAACGATAATTGTATTTATAATAATAATAAGTTAATTGTGATTGTTTAAGAATCAAAAACAAATGATTCAAATAATTTATCAGATTATTTGATTTTTTATTTTCTTCATCATGTTATAAATAAATTATAATTAAATTCAACTTCTAATTAATTCTAATCACAATTAATTCCTTCTGATACTCAACATTTTACCTGATCAATTCTAAATTGTTCAAAGGGAATTGAGATTCTAATTAATTTAGATAATGTTAACTGAATGTTAATCACGATGATGATGGTCAATCTAATGAGGGAAATAAGAGAGAGAGAAAAAAAAATTTAATCATTAGTCAAACTGATTTAACTGATTAAGGATTTTACACCCATTTGACTGATCAATTATGCTAATCATGTTGATTAGTTAATCACAATTAAATATATACAAAAATAAACTGGAGAGAAAGTGTGTTAATTGGTTAACATTTTCATTCTCATGTCTCCATGTTACTATTATAATCAACATCAGACTGACAACAATCAATCAATTTTGAGCGATTGAATTAATTGTTTAATTTTAAATTATTTACCTTTAAATTGTTATGTTTCCTTATGGAGTTGATTCATTAATCTAAATCTTTTTTTCTCTTCAGTCTTTCAACTTAATCTTCACGTATTATTTAAGTGTATTTCATGTGTGTAAATTGCTGTTGTAGTTGTTGTTGTTGTTAGTTGATTGTTGGTTGATGATACAAATAACAATCATCATCATAATCGTAATAACAATTGAGAAAATGATATTTGGATATTAATTTCTATCTCTCTCTCTCTCTAAATATCTTGATTGGTAAAAGTTAATTGAAGCGTAAATTAAACGTCACCGTGACAAGAATCAATTGAGAAACAAAAATCAATCACTAATCAACGTTGATATTATAATAGATACTTAATAAACAATAACAATTAACCATCTCATTTAAAAATTACCTTTTTTTTTTGTTAATCAATTGCGATAAGTTAAATCCTTCCTTAATCAAAACTAAATTTACACTTTTGGAAACACATACACAACCATCACCAAGTAATCCAAATTGTAATCAGCAGTTAATCAATTGTACATAAAATGAACCAACTAAATTGATTGTAAATTGAAATTAAATCCAAAAAATGAAAAAATATTCAAACAATCAAAACCAAACACAATTAAAATCCAAATTGAATAAAACAAAAAAGTGTTTACCTTTTTTTTTATTGATGTTTTCCCGATGAGACAACAATTAACTTTCCAATGTAATTAATTAACAACTAGTGAGTAATTAAAAGCAACACTTTCACTTGATCATGTTGATTATTTGAATAATTTAATCGATGATTAATTAATTTAATTGATGTTTAAACTGATTACAACCATGAGAAATTGGAGAAGCAAAAAGAGAAACGGAAATCAAACTGTTTACATAATTTTCTCTCTTCCCCCATTCCAATTGTTCTCTTACTTTTTTATTCTATTCTAAATTCTTTCCCCCCTTTTCTAATTTGTTCTTTTCTCTTTTGTCTAATCTCCATTTTCCCGGTTAAAGTGAAAAGTAAATAATTGGAAGACATTTAGTCTCTTTTTCTTTCTCCCTCTCTTGTAGATTTTGTTTATTTCCAATGTTAATCCAATTTCGTCTTTATTATTATATTAATCATCATATTGGCGTCACAAGGATAATATAACCACACACACACTCAGTGATTAAAGTTAATTGTGATTTGTTTTGGTTTTTTTTTCGTCTTTCGTTTTTTTATATAATATAATTAATTAAATGGTTTTCATTTTTTTCCAGAAAAAACTTTAACCGTAAATCTACAAACAAAATATTCTCTTTGGTGAAATTTTTTTTTCTCTCTCACTTGAGTTTTTTTTTCTCTCATTGGTAATTATAATTTTCCCGTTGATCATGTCCACCAACAAATGATTCTGGTCCATCTGATCCTTCTTGTCCTTCAGCAGCTTCACTTTGTCCATTATTATTGTGTCCACCTTCACCTCTGTATTCTCTGTATGCTCCTCTTGAATTGGGCTCATTTTGACCGGAATGTGATGAAACTTCACCGGAATCTCTTTCCTCATCCCGATAACCACCTCGTTGTCTTGGATGACCATTTGAAGGTGATGATGATGATCCACCCTCACCTCTATACTCTCTGTAAGCACCTCTTAAAGCGGGTTCATTTTGAATTTGAGGTTCACCTGAATCTCTTTCCTCTTCTCGATAACCTCTCTGTTGACCTGGATGACCATTAGATGGTTCAATTTGACCTCCTCGTCCATTTACAATTTCTCTTGGCTCCTGTGGTTCTTGTGGTCCTTCAGATGAAGGTCCATCTTCTATGGCATCATCTTTATGGTATGGACCTCGATTATCACGATTATCTCTACCTTTAGGTTCAGGTTGTTTCACATCTGAATCAGCCTCATGAGCTGGGAAAGGTTCACCATGATGTGGAGCCTCATAAAATTCACTGTTACCTTCTTGACCGAAACCATCTTCAAAATTTGGCATAAATCCACCATGTTGCTGTTGTTGCTGTTGTCCATATCCAGCGAAACCCTGAGGTTCAGTGTCAGGAGTGAAAGCGGCTTTAAAATTACCTCCTCTAGCCTGAGCTTCCATGATTGCGTTCAGCTCCATTGGACTGAGTAACGGGAAACCTGCTCCTCCGCCTGCATATCCACTTGCTGCTCCTAATTATATCAATTTTTTTTTCATCATTTTCGATTGTGTTGGAAAAGTAAAGAAAAAAAAAATGATAATGTTCACAGTAGGTAAGTAAATAGAAAATATAAAGAAAACAAAAATTAGCGATATGATCACATTTTCTACATATCATACTTGTATTAACATCACTCAACAGATACTAATTATTTATCAAATCATCCGTTCATTCAAATAATGTTTTACACATTTACCCAGTTACAATAATTTACATCAATTTTAAATTCTAATCATTGATAAAAACAAACTTGATTCCCAAAGTAAATTAATCAGATCAAATCAACACTAAGCTAAACATTCTGTTCTAATTCTAATCCATTTTTAATCTTTTCGTTTCAGCAGATAATTTCAAATGGATCGAAAAATTGTCTCTCCATCTTTTAACTAATCAAAAACTACATCCTCAATTCTTCAATTCTTTTTCCATCAATAATCTCATCTGAGTCGTTTCAGATCTGAGATGAAGATCAACATAAAGCTCAATGAGAGCAAATTCTGGTCACATAATTAAGCTTTTTTTTCCAATTTTTATGTGTGTGCATAGATCACATGTAGATATGGATTTAACCAACACTTATAAACCACACCTTTTGAAGGAATCACTGATTAAATCACATGGATTGATGATGAAAATTAAGCCAAAATCAAAAGCTAGACAATTTAATCACTAGTTTTTCATCCATGGTATATAATATCACAAATTGATCAACAGTGAAACAAATTACCTAAAGTATCAATTGGTAAACCAAAATGTCCTCCCATTGCAGGAGCACCTACATGAGCACCTACTGGAACACCAACATGACCAGCCATTGGAGTGAAAATGGGTTGACCATAAACAAGGACAATTTGAACACCAAGAACAAATATTAATTTCATTTTGATTTAAATCCAATTGATAAATTTACAACGAACTAAAAATCAAAGGGAATGATGAATAAAGAAAAAAAAAATGAAACGGTAAGAAATTCAATAGTTTTAACTTTAAAGTTGACAACTGTTATTAATGATGAAATTTGTTCTGTCAATTATTAACAAAACAATTTACTAACAATTTAAATATATTTACCTTTTTAAACTATTTCAGATTATTAAAGGATTTGGAGAGGATGTTATCACATTAACTGACTTGAACTAACTAACTTAAATTTGAGTTGATTATGATGTTTTTATAAAACTAACTGGAGGGATTAATATTTCCTATTCTGAATGGATGAATATGTTTTAAGTGATTTTGATCTTCCCCCTTGATGGTGATCAATATAATCAACAACAGTTTAAACGCTCAAACCTGATTGATTATAATTGTCGCACCTTCACCAACTCATCAAATTAACAATAGTTCGTCAAAAAGAGGAAGGAGAAGGCGGTAAAAAAAAGCCAAGCGAGTTGAAGGAGAAGGAGGAGGAGAAGGTGGAAGATAAAAGGTGAAGACAAATGACAGAAGAAGAAGAAGAAAAAAAATAGGAACCAACAAGAGAGACTTTAATTAAGATGACGATATATGATTAAGTAACATTAGATAATCAAGTTAACGGTACCAACTCACAACAATTACAAAAAGATGACGATGAACAAAAAGAAAGAGGAAGGAGGAGAGAAATCAAGATGAAATTTATTTTGATTCAATTTTTTGGTGTAACAATTGGAGCAACAACATCAACAACAAACATATATTAATAATAGTAAACATAAATAAGGAGTTATCATCATCATCATCATTCAGATAATTTGTCAACAATTTTGACAAACAAAAAATTAACGTCAACTTATCATTGAAAGTTGATTCTGTCCTTTTTTTTTCTTAAACTTTGATTGTTGTTTGCTCTTTTTGTAGTATAATATTATTTTGGTTATACTAATAATTTGATATTATTATTTTTTTTTACTATTAGCTATTGTTATTGATTGTTGATTATGATTATAATCAGTAGTAAGTCAAAAGTTAATTTAATGTAAACATAAACTGTCCCCTCTAATCTAATCAACTTGTTGGCTTTTCCTGAAAAAAAAAGCGACACAACAATAACATACAATCAACAAACTCTGATTACCTCATTATCGATAATCAAATCAGTAACTAAAATCAGTAATTAGTTAAAATTATTACTAATTATTAGAGTGTCTCGAAAGCAAAAATGAAAGAGAGATAATTGTGAGAAATTAATTTCTCAACTAATTCGCACTGATTAGATTAACAATTTCTCCTTAATTCTCCTGAGAGTTAAACATATTAATCATTGAAATTGTTGACCAAATATTTGATTAATTTTAATTGTTTCATCCGAAAAAATGCAAAAAATTATGTAACTCGATCAATAATTGGTTGAAACAATTTAAACAAATGAGATGAATCATTGATTGGTCAATTCAATCAGATTAAAGGTAAGAAAGGAAGAGAACAAAAATTCCAAAATTTTTTTTCTTCTCTTCCATAGACTTAACCTTGTTTTCTCTTCCATATCATCATCATCTCTCTCACTGACCAACCATTTTAGCGCTAAAATACCTTAGCAACTCAACTTGTTCACCTCTCACCCTTAACCTCATCGTCCCCCTTTCCTTTCCCAAGAAAAGAAGATGAAGAAGAAAAAAAAGTTCTAACATATTTTTAAAGAGCATTTTCTTTTTAAAAAGAAAAAACGAAAGAGAAGAAGAAGAAGAAAAAAAAAGAAAACCACTTGCCCTTCATCATCCTTATCATCATCTTCTTCTTCTCCATGTACTTTAACCTTATTCTTGTTTTTCTTTTTCTTCTTCTTCTCTTGTTTTCTTTTTCTCTTCATCTTCATCTTCTGATTTTCTTTTCTTCTCCCGCCATTTTTGTTGATGTTCACTTGTTCCCTCCAGCAACAGATGGCAGAGTCGATCCAATCTCTTTCTTTTCCCTTAGAATATCAACCAAACTCCGCCCATCGACTCACTCGCTCTCTCTTTTTCTCATCTTCGCCTCTGAATATCTGGTTTCTCTCTGTGTGACTCTTTCTTTTTCACTTCTTTTCTCTTGAACGAAGTACATTATTTTTTTTCCTTCTCTCTATTTTTTTGTCTGCCTGTTTTTCTTTTTTTTTGAATCGCATCTTCTTCTCTCTCTCTCTCCCAATTTCTCTCTTCTCTCTATCATCTTATATACATTTTCTTCTCTTTTTTCCTCTTTACTTTTTCTTCTTCTTTTATATATATCACATATTATATATTAGTTTGAATTGTTTGAAAAACAGAGAAAAAAAAGTAACCATGTCTCTAAGTGGTGATAATGTGGATATTCTTGGTGATATGTATTACAAGTTTCTAGTTCATGACTGCATGTGGTCTGGTGGTACCTGTAAAGAGGATAATACACACGAAACAACTAATAAATTCAGTGATTTTAGTTATTTTTCAACATCACCCGTTTATGGTTCAATATTTGACATTTTCAATATAGATGATGAAAACAGTTTAGGTGAAATTAATTGTGACCCTGAATACGATACATCTGATCAAGATGATTCACCTCTTAGTGGTCTTTCAGCTGAAGATACCGAACCTGTAGAAGATGATAATAATTTATTAAATCCTTCTTGTTCTTCATCTCCTACACCTTCAACTTCTTCATCTATTTCAACTTTAACCGGATCAACTATTATTACACCAACCGGCTTACCAGTAGCAGCAGATTGTTCAATAATTAAACCAACAACTTCTAGAGCAACATTAACCGGCAAATCAACCGGCTCAAATAAATCAACTTTATCCTCCAAAGCAACTAAATCAGCAAGTTCAAAAGTCAATTCAGTAAACTCTAAATTGACATTATCAGCAGCAGCAGCATCAACATCAACAGCAAGAGCAACAACTTCAACCGCCAATTCACTAGTTACCCCGACAATCTCACCAATAGCTACAATTTCACCAACTTCAATCGCAAATTCACCAATTATTTCAACAACAACAACTACTACTACCACCAATAACCTGACACCATCTACATCATCAGTAACACCAACAGCAGCTATACCAATAAATGCTAACCTCACCGTTGCCTCAAATTCATCTTCTTCTTCTTCAATCCTTAAAAGTACGGGTAAAGCACGAAATCCTAAATCATTATATCCTGAACGTAGAAAAGAACATAATAATTCAGAGAAAAAACGACGAGATCATCTAAGGAACGCATTCAATCATCTTAGAGATCAAATACCCAAATTAAAGGACGGAGAGAAAAAGGCTGCGCGGGTAACCATTCTAAAAGAGTCTGTATCATATGTAACTCTTTTAAAGGAGAAACATCGCTACCTAGAACGAACCAAGAACGCTGAGACAATTAAGCATGAAAATCTATTGAAAAGACTTAAAATGCTTCAATCTAGTACTGGTGCTAGTATAAGCTTTAATAATAACAACAATTCTAATATTAATAATAATAATAATAATAACGATTTAAACGTCGTCTATGTTCAATGTAATTCTTCAACAGTTTGTTAAATGGCATTAAAATTAAGATTATACCCTTACCACCATCAAAATTTTACTATCGTCTCTCTCTCTATCATTGATTATATTTTTACCACCACCGGTTTTAAAAGTAACAACATTAACCTAAAGAGAGAAAAAGAAAGAGAAAAGGAAAGAGAGAGAGAGAGAAAGAGGAAAGAGAAAAATTTTCACGGATTAAAAAGAAAGAGAGAAAAGAAAGAGAAAAGAGTAAGTGAAATAGAGGAAAAAATTACCCGGAGGAGGAAAAACACTAAACTCATTTAATTTAATGCGCTTTTCCAGTAAAAAGAGTTTATTCCCATGTATTGGAAATAGAGAGGATACTTAAGAGAATAGACTTGATCCTCTCTCCCCACCCTTAAGACACTTTTAAGAGAAAAACAGATAAAAGAGAAAAAAAGAAAAAGAAACATTCGAATGGGTTGAGAAAAGAGAATAGAAAAAAAGAAAGAATTTGGTTACCATAATTACCACTTGGTTCGCCACTGGTATTAGATAAGATTTTTTTCTTTTTCTCTTTTTGAAAAGAAAGAGAAAAAGAAAGAGACTAGTTGATTTGTTCTCTTTTCTCTTTCTTTTTTCTATTAATTGATTTGATTGTTTACTTTATTAGTTATTGTTTTCCAATTGTTTTCTAATTACTTTGTTTTATATTCTTTTGATAGTTGGTTGTTTCTTCTTTCGGATTAATTGATTTATTGGATTTTCTTTTTCTATTGTTTTAAGTTGTCTGATTATCTTTTCCATTTTTTTGTTTGTTCTTTGGTGGAAAGAAAGAGTTGGACAAAACGTTCTTTTCTATTTGATTTTGATTTTGGTTTTCTCTTTTTTTGCTTTTGGTTGCGCGACATGTTTGGTTATTCGTTTATTGCTTTGGGCTTTTTTGGCCTGATTGTTCCGTTGCTGATTAATTTGGTTCCTTTGGTTGATTGTCTTGATAATGGATTAGCTCGGACACCGCCTATGGGCTGGATGACATGGGCCAAATTTTCCTGTATTGTTAATTGTACCGCTCAACCTGATGATTGTATTTCTGATAAGCTGATCCGTTCAATGGCTTCCGTTATGGTTTCAGAGGGTTATCTTGATGCTGGTTATAATTATATTAATATTGACGATTGTTGGTCTGAAATGGAACGTGATTCTATAACCTCTGCCCTGTTACCTGATCATGAAAGATTCCCTTATGGGATGAGAAATTTATCCAATTTTGTTCATTCAATTGGTCTCAGGTTTGGTATGTATGGTGACATTGGAACCAAAACATGTCAAGGTTATCCTGGTTTTTGGATTGGTAATGGATCAGCAAGTGATTATTTCCTTCTTGATAGTGAAACCTTTGCCTCTTGGGGAGTTGATTCACTTAAGGTTGATGGTTGTTACCAAGATATCGATATATTTGACAAAATCTATCCAAGACTTGGTGAGATGCTCAATTTTACCGGTAAGATTAATAATCTTAATTTCTTCATCAATCTAATCGCTCTCCCTCTCTTTTTTTACCATGTAATTTACTTATCCCATTCTCATCTCATCTTATCATTTGTCTCTCTGTTGATTGACTTTGATCCACACTTGAAAATCTTCTCAACAATTATGATTCCATCTTCTGGTTGTATAGTCCGTTTTGTGTTCCTCTTTGTTGTTCGGTTTGTTTTGATTACTAAAATTACTTTTCTCTCTCAATGTGTGTGACCAATTAACTCTTTGATTGACTGATTTTTGACAGTTAGGATTTACTGTTATTTTTTCCCTCTTCCTCTTTTTTCCTCTCACTGGATTAAGTGTGATTAAGATTGATTTGATTTAGTCTCGATATTTCTTGCAAAAGAAAGACAAATATGTGCATTTATTTATATTCTTGCATTTCATTGATGCTAAGATACAAAAAAAGAGTATATTTGTATTATCTGTATCAAAAAAGAAGAGAATATAATTTTCTACTTTATTAATGAAGAAACTAATCATTATCATCACTCTTATCATCATTTAAACTTTGACACTAACAGTTATTCCTTATTCTCTTCTTTTTTGTCTCTGTCTCTGTCAATCTCTCTCTCCTGTATCTCATCTTCCATTGTCTGCTAATGTTGTTGTTTTTTTCCATCTTCTATTATCATCTTCATCACTATTGTTATTATTATGTTAACCAAATAACAATTAACAATTCTTAATCATTGGAAGATCCTAAAACATAACTACATCGTAATTTTTAAGAGTAACAATAACAATGGCAAATGATAGAGAGAGAGAGAGAGAGATTTAGCTCTCACATGTTCTTTTTGTTTTTCATCTTCTCTCCCTGGATGGCTAACATCCTCATCCTCATCGTCATCTTTATCTTCTTGGTCGTTTTCTTCTTACTTTGAGTTGAACTTCCCGTAATGAGAAACGAGAGAAACATTTCCTCCTTCTCACTTAAAGATTCCCTGCAGGGTGAAACTAAAGATGATGAAGGAGGAGGAGGAGGAGGTAAATGACGAAGATGAGAAAAAGACTTATACGGAAATTGGGACTTATGGTTATTCAGTCATTCATGCGATTTTTTCTTCTTTTTTAACCTTAACATAAACATTTTGTAAGACAAATGTGTAAAGATGAACAGAAAATGACCAAGATGATGAGGAAGCGGAGAAAGAACAGAGAAAAAAAGAGTAAATATCAGCATCATCTTCATGTAGAGGAAAATAGATGAGAAGAAGAGTAAAGATGAAATTCTGATTGTACGCAGATGAAGAAAAAGAAAGCCGGTTAAAAGAAAGAGAAAGTGATGAGCAAGAAAGACGGATGAAGAAAGAAAAGATGATTTTAGAAAGGGAAAAGAAAGAGAAAAAGGAAGAGAGCAATAAGAGAAATGATTTTTTCCTTCTGAAATGAATGAGGAAAAAAAGTTACAAAAGATGTACACATGGAATACACTTGTACTCATGGAGGAGAAAAAGCCATGATTACAAATGTCTATTTTTACTTCCATCTCTCTCTCTCTCTCTCTCTCTCTCTCAAATCTCTTCAATCCACTACAAATCCTGTGAGTGAACCTCTAAAAGATTCTTAAGCATCACAGGGAATATGAATAACGAATTGAGTCTGAATGGATCAGCAAAATTGAGGGAAGATTAACTTGAAGAAGAAACTAGAAGATATCATGAAATACCAATGTTCCGTTGAGAAGATTTAATTTCACTCCAATATTTATTTCATTCACTTAAAACTGTCTCATCTTCATCTTATTCTAATTAAGGTCCTTTGACCTGTTTGGTAGAGAGAGAGAGAGAGAGAGAGAGAGAGAGAGAGAGAGAGAGAGAGAGAGAGAGAGAGAGAGAGAGAGAGAGAGAAAATGATAATAAGCAGATTATTAACCATATAAAATGATTATTTGGCACGAAAAAAGTTTAATTTGCCAAAAGTTAACATTAATCTCTTCTAGATTCTTACATCATTTCTTGATGATGATTATGATTGTAGACAAAAATTTCATTCTTATAACTACAACTTCCTAGGATTTAGGTCAAGGTCGGTTATGTAAATGTATAAATATAAAAGTCTAGAAACCTTTACATGTCTTATTGCGGTTTAATCAACAAAAATCTCAAAAATTATTTGTTCAAACATTGAACTCGTCTTTTCATGTCTATATATTAATGTCTTAATTTAATGATGATAAAAATAATCATCATAGTAAATTAAATTGTCTCTTGTCATTGAATCAGTTTAATCAACTTTTTTTTCTGCTTGCATATCATTATTATTATTACTCTGAATGCACATGATAAACAAACCGTTGAACCGAAAGCCACAAAATTTATCTGCGAACAGAGTGAAAGTTATTAACAATTAAACCCAAGATGATGATGATTGTGATGAAATTAATAACAATAAAACCAATTGGCTTGTCTTTTTATGCTTCATGATTATCAAATGATAATGAATGATGAAGAAGGATGAAGATGATGCTGATGATAAGCATCACGCTTATTCATATTTGAATGAATTTTGATAAGAGAAAAAAATTCTGTGACAATTGAATATCATTGTTTTATTATAATTCCGAGAGATAACAACAATTAATTGGAAAACAATGTTAATTGTTTAATGAAAATTCGTTTCTTTTTTAATTCATGCTCAATGTTTTCATTATCTATTGATTATGAGTTATTAATTATTAATTATTTTCTTCCCTCTCTCTCTTGTTTTCTTTCTCAGGTCGTCCCATGTTGTATTCATGTTCATGGCCGGCATATCAAGTCTATGTCTCAAGGGAACCAGATTATGCCTCTATTGCCAAATATTGTAACTTATGGCGTAACTTTGATGATATTGAACTTAGCTTCCATTCAATTTTATCCATAATTGAATTTTTCGCCAAAAATCATGATGATTTTGTACGATATCAAAGTAAGTTCTCACCTTAATATCCTAATTTTGCATCGTTTTATTTTCATCTATGATCATCATTACGTAGCCTCTCAAGCTTAGCGTAAGATGAATGATGATAAATCTCAAAAGTCATTTATCTTGTCGTAGCTCTCTCTCTCTCTCTTCATTATCATTATCATTATCCTCACCCAGCGGTGTAAAGGCAGAAGCAAAATTTTACCCACTTACCCCGTTAACCTGTTCTCAGAGAGGGTTAACAACTGCATCATCTTGAAAACAGGTAACTAAGTACATTTGATTTAGTCTTTTTGTTACTGTTGTTGTGTCTACATTTTCATTCAGCCCACTTACCCTTTTTAGCCTCCCTCCCTCCTTCTCTGTCTCTCTCTCTCTCACTGTTTCTTTTTTCTCCCTTACCTTTGCAACTACACCATATCAATTGCATTGCATCGGCCTCTTCACTTTGTTGATGTTGCTTTTTTTTATTGCATTTTCACAAACCATTGATACTTTGTTATAACTTTACACAGTTTTTTTATTCATTCGTACATTTTGAATCTTTTTTTTTTACCCTTGCAAATATTATTCTCCTTAACGTAATAATATTTACATGGTAATTGCAATTCATGTTTTTTATTACCATTGGGTATACACTTTACATTTAAGGTAAAGAAACGAAAAATTTACTTTCACTTTATGTGCAATTAACACAATTTTTTTTATCACTATTTAAACACTGTGTCATTTGATTTGATTTCTATGTAATCAAACATACAGACTCATAAACGGGTTTCACCTTGTCTACAATCATATTAATTTACCTTGATATCTGTTAATTCAGTCATAATGTATTTAGTTACATTATAATTATCTAATGTTTACAATGGTTAGATTCATTTTTCCTCATCCTTTGATCACCACTGATGCTTGATTTTAATGACCATCATTTCATAGTCAGATTGAAAACTCTTCAAGATTAATATGAATAAAAAAAACTCATCTCATTTCAAGCATCCTCATCATTTTCCTAGAACTTTGTAGTCCCGAAAAAGGTAATAAATAGACAATTAAACAATAATTGTCCCCAAGAAAATAGTAACAAATGAAAATCCATCGGACTCATTTTCTTCCTATGTGAATTACTTGTGATACCATTTTGGATGTTTCAATTTACCTCAAGTACAATAATAATAATACCTAAATGTTTCCTCTAGTAGGTTATTATTATTACCTCAAAATTATTTCTAGAGTAAAGTAAAGCCATAATTGACCTTTATACCTTTTAACTTTCAACTTGTATGTGTTTGTCTATGTAAGGTTGTCAACAACAAGAGTTTATCCTCATTGTCCCTCTTTTTTTTTGTACATTCAAATATGAATAGAAAGTCAATCATGATTCAAAATTAATACTCTTTGAGTTTTATTTCTTTCTTTCACTAAGGTTAACCCCCCTTACTATTAATAAATTTAAGGTCAAAGTTATCATGATGATGAGTATCACTTTTTGATCATCATTGCGTCAACAACAACAAAAACAACAATTGATCTTATAACCATTAAAATTGAATAATAATAACACCACTTACATTAGTTGATTGTATTAACAATCAAGCCAAAAAAAAGGCCCAAACATTGATTGACATTACATTGAATGGGCTAATATAACATGAGTATAATGAATGCATAGGTAGAGCTGATATGTAACTTTGATTTTCCTCCCTATCATCTCCTCTCTTTCCCTCATCACCGCTCCCTTGCTTCATCTTTCATCTTTCATCTTCATCATCATCTCTTACCTTTACATCTAGTTCAATATTTTGGGCTAGGCTACTCTCTCTCTCTCTCTCTCTCTCTAATGTTATCAAAGCAAGAGGGAGTTTCTTGTGTGTATATTTTGTATATTTGGTTATGTTTTTGGAGGGAATTTAAAATTTGAAGGGAAAGTGCAATGATAGTAACTATTAGTTACTTTTCTTGTTCTATCGCTATATATGTATATTGATTGGAAATCGATTAGATCCTCTGGTTGATGCTCTCTTTCTCTCTTTCTTTTTCTGCTTTATATTATCTTTCTTTTCCAATTGATAAAAAGGATAGAAGGAGAGAAGATAGAGAAAGAGAGAGAGAGGAGAGTAAGAGATGATGCAGGGAGGAAAAAGCGTGAAGCTCATTCATCTATTGTGCAAATGCTGTTCCCACGCTGCAAACGAACTCAATTTATTAATAATATATACTGATCCATATACTCATAGTGACCTAAGCGCTTCTTTGGTCACTACGATTGTTGATTTCTGTTATTTTCATATCTAAAGAAATCTACTCTTTTACATTTCGATCATTTCGTTATCTAGTTTTCTTTTTATCTGAAAAGTGAGTGATTATTACACGATATCTGAGAATTGGGATGAGGATGGATGATGATTGCTGGGTGATACTTGAAAAGGAAAAGTAAACTTACTTTATAATTTTACCTTTTTTTTACCATCTTTTACCTTTATCTATTTGGATTGATGGAAACCCTTGGATATCTATCATTATTTGGCATTAATATTATCATCTGCATCTTAATCATTGTTATTATTAGCATTAGATGATAACTTTTCTAAATAATAACAATATTTATTTATCATGTAATATATTCACATTAGGAATATATCGTGTCTATCAAATTATCAATTCTCTTCCGTCAAGTTTACCTTTATATTACCTTTGTAATACTTTCTTTGCAATATCTATGTATGTCTATGGATTATTATTCATTGGCTTTTCTTTATCTGTCTGTGGCTGTGTTTACATGTGAACATATTAGTTATGATGATGACATTGTTATTGTATTATTATTGTAGTTGGGTTTCTGCCTATGGTGATGAAAAGTTTTGTAACCTTTCATATATTATTTTTTTTTTCTTCCATCCATAGGATGAAAAGTCTATGGGCTTTATGATTTAATTTGAATCTAAAAATAATACATTTGAATAGTGGACCTTTTTAGTGAGGGCGGTAAAATGGGAGGAGGTGGAAAGTGTGATGATGAGAAATGTTATTTACTTATCATCCTTCATTTTCATGTTTACTTGCTGTTGATGTTTGATTGTTAACATTAATTATTATCAATTTTTATATTATGATAAACCATGATTATTATGATTCTCTATGATTATTACTTGGCCTTTTTTAGGCCATAATTGTAATGGTTGAGCTTCAATTGAACTTTATTTTACTTGAGTATTTTTTTTTGTTGATGATTTTCAGATTAGTTTGATGATAATGATGATAGGCTTGAAGATGACTTGATTTTTCTTGCTCAGGTAATGAATTAAATCACGAATGAGAAAACTAGCCAATGAATGGTTGTTTTTTTCAGAATTTGTTGAATTTAAATTTTAAGGGGCATCATTATGATGATGATGATGATGATAATCATCTTGACGAGGGTGGAAATCTACGTCAAGATGATGAAGAGAGGATGAAGGAGGATGTGTAGGAGAGGTAGAGTAGTATGATAGTAGTAGTTGTAGTAGTTTTGGAGGTGGAAAAAAGCGGGAGGGTGAAAGCGATGGTCTTGAAAATTCATGTACATGTTATATATATAAACTCCTATGGAATTGTATTTCTTACTTTTTTCCTTCTTTTTCTTTCCATCATTATCATCATTTACAGAGAGAGAGAAAGTTTTGCTGATCCATGCAAACTGTATGGGTTATTCATATTCCAAGTGAGGCAAAGAATCTTTAAGATTGGTGGGTTTTACTCACAGGGTTTCGAGTGGGGAGAAAGTTGAAGATGAGGAAAGATGATGAGAAATGAGAAAGAGAGAGTAAGTGAAAGAGATAAATGCAAAAATAGACATTTGTACTCATGTTTGTAAGCGTTTCTCCTCCATGGATACAAGCGTGATCCATGTGTGCATCCTTCATCTTTTCTCTTAATCTTTACCAGTATCATCATCATCTTTTTCTTTTTCTTTTTCTTCATTATCATCAATGATTTTATCTTTGCTGTTACTTTTTCTCTTCCTAAATCTCGAAATATTCTCGGTCAAACTTAACGGTAAAAACTATCATTACGCAAGTAACATTTTCTTTCCTCATTCTCCATTTACTTGAGAAAGAAGAAGAAGAAGAAAAAAATCATTACTCTTATTGCTCTTTTCATCATTATCTTCTCTTTCTTTACCCGTCTTTCTAATTCATCACTTTCTCTTTCTTTTAACCGGCTTTCTTTCTTCTCTTTCATTTTTCCCTCTTCTTCTTCATCTGCGTACAATCACAATTTTCATCTCGATTCTTACTCTTTTCTCATCTATTTTCCTCTACATGATGATCATCATCATATTTACTTCTTTCTCTTCTCTATTCTTCCTCATCATCATGGTCATTTTTTCTTCGTCTATTCTTATTTATCTTCCTCCTTCATCATCACATATTATTTCTTGTTGGATGAAAATGGAGAAACATATTCATAGATATTTTTCTCTTCGCTTCATTTTCCTTGCTCTCTTTATCGCCCACGTCCACCCTGTCTCTTTTTTCGTGAAGAAGAAGAAGATGATGATGAAGAAGATGAAGAAGAAGATGATGATGATAAGATGAATACAAAAATAATCTATTTCATTGAATCTTTTTTCTTCTTTATTAACATTCTATCTGTTACTTATCAATAGTAAAATTAAAGATTCATTGACGTATCATCATTGTAACAATTATCTTCCTTGTCATGGTGATAAATCCCATGTGAGTTATTTTAACCCTAAAAATCAATGTGATCAATAACAAAGCAAACAGGGAACCAAAAATAACTTTGAATGATTAGTATCTAATGAGAAATTAGTTAATCATTAATATTTAAAACAAATGAATTATCCTGATGATTCAAATATCTTTCATTGACCTTTTTTTATATATATTAATAATAATTATCCAATAATGATGATAATTTGTCTCTCACTTTCTCACTCATAGTTGTTTCCTGATACAAATTGCAATGAAAAAAAATGGTATAAATATTTCAATATTTTCTTCATAAATCATCATAATGATTAAAAGATGAAGTAGAAACTCCTATGGGAGTTAACACAACTAACAAAATGCCGATGACCAGTGAAGGTTAAAAAAGAAGAAAAAATCGCATGAATGACTGAATAACCATAAGTCCCAATTTCCGTATAAGTCTTTTTCTCATCTTCGTCATCTTCCTCCTCCTCTTTCATCATCTTTAGTTTCACCCTGCAGGGAATCTTTAAGAGAGAGAGAGAGAGAGAGCCAGAGAGAGAGAGAGAGAAAAATTTTCTCTCGTTTCTCATTACGGGAAGTTCAACTCAAAGTAAGAAGAAAACGACCAAGATGATAGAGATGAGGATGAGGATGTTAACCATCCAGGGAGAGAAGATGAAAAAGAATGTGTGGGAGTTGTGACTCTCTCACTCTCTCTCTCTCTCTCTCTTCCATAGACACTGCATTGATCTATTACAAGAAACCTTGTGAATGAATTTTCATTTAACCGCACACACATAAATTCACATTGATTCATACATTTACTCACAGAATTACAGTCGTTTACACAACTTTTTTTTTACTTAGAAAGACAGTGAATCTCTTTCATCATCTTCAGTCTTTCTTTTTCGTCGTCTTAGTGGTTCCTTCAATAGTCAAGTCTAAGCTTCCAATTTGCACCAAGCTTAACTTTCAGTTCACTTTCACTGAAAATTTCTCGAATTTTTTCTCTCCTCTTCATCTTAATCATCTTGACCTTATCTTCTATCGATTTTTGTCCTCTCTCATTCTCTCTCTTTCTCTCACACATCCTCGATTTCCTTGATTACAATCAACAGATCATAATGATTACCGTTGTTCCTCATGATTTGCTTCCAGTGACCTGCATTTGTTTTCTCGATTGGCTTAGATACTTTATTGGATCTACATGATAAGCTTATCCCTCAGTTAATTTATTATGACCTTTATTGGCTATGTGATCTTTTGCCTCTGTTTTGATAATTTAACTGTAATTGTTATCTAACCTTACTCACTCCCTGTTGATTGTGTGTTGATATTAATGTTAGTGTGTTTGTGTGTCTCTACAAATGAACGGAAATTGATAGGCACGGAAATGGTTCTTTAATAATATCGATTGGTTTTATCTCTCTCTCTCACTCTAGCTCTATTATCATCAATATCTTCCATTCACTTTTAAGGGTGTTTATTTTCACTTATTTTAACGGTATTTTTATATTAGGACTTCTCTATTGGGTGATAATGATGATGATTTGGTTATGACTGTTGATTTGCCTTTGATTGTTTAACAAAGCGTATTGAATGGGATAATAATTTACGTTAATTTAATTGGCAATTGATCGCCTCTACAATTAACTCTCACCCAAAAATTTACTATTAAATCATTCACTTTTCTACTGAGAAATATTCCCTTTCACATGTACAAAGACTCTTATCATCCATCTTCATCTTTTTCATCATTCTAATCACCTTTACCATCTTCATCATCCTTCGCATCTTTTGAATCACCTTATTCTCTCTCTCTCTCTCTCTCTCTTGCTTTCTTTCCCTCTCTCGACATTAAATCAGCACATAGACATTTGAATGTATCTTACTAAAATAACAATGTCGGTAATTGTGCTATTGATGATTAGGTTAATTGATTAGGATCTCGTGCTAATAATTGAATACAATTAACAATTACAATTGCTGTGTGAATGTTACCCTTAATAGATTACACTTATTGCTATGATAACTTTGTTATTGTTGATTACGATAAAATAACATTGCTTTTCTGTTCCCAATTCATTTTGCTTCCTGTTTAATTGTAATAATGTAAATCATTGATTGTTATATTAAGATAATGATAATCCTCCTCATTTTCTTGATAATTTCTTATCTTAAATACCAATTAATGATTACATAAAAAATGTATATCACAATTAAGTCAGAGAAGAAGAAAAAAATAATTAACCAACCGACAATTACTTTGATAGATTAAGGATTTATATTAACTTTCCATGTTTAAATCCAATTTCCTGCAGTTGATTTCAGTTCATTTGAAACAATATATTTAATGTCTAATGATGACGTTTAACTATCATTCACTGGTTTTAATGAATTAAGATGAAATTTATTTACAATGATGATAATGATTAAGATGTATAAATAATTGTATCAATGAATTAGCTAAATTTACGTTTATAGTAAATTGAGGCAACAGTTCCCACCATGAATGATGCAAGGAAAAAAAATGATCCCAATCCAATTGCTAATCCAAAATGATCTTGTTGTTGACCCTTAAATTGTAGCAATTTAGCTGCTCTATCCTTATTCAGATAAACTGAACAAGTTGATTTAGCTGTTGATGATGAATCGAGAGATGATAAATCATTGGCTCCTGTAGTTAGGGTTGATGATAGTCTACAGGTTGTCCTAATATTTGATGAACCTCGAGTTTCAAATGACTCACAATATTCAAATGAAATACAATTAACATAATCATCTGATTGATTACAATCAACAGCGCATCTTTCCATTGATACATCATTTATCTCCTTAATTATTGTCACTTTATCCATTTTATATTGTCGTCCAATATAATGAACATAATCTCGACCATATTTAACTAATTAATAAGAATTGAACTTTAATTGTCTTTGAAATGAAAAGTTTAATCAACTCTTACCTGCATAATGATCACAAGTTGATTTACTAAAATCCCAAATGTGATTAGTTATTTCATGACTTGAATCTTCAGCTACATGAAATTGATGAAGGAAACACGCTCGTTGAGAACTGAATTGATTGTGTAAACAGTAAAGAAAATTAATTCAAACAATTAATGATTAATTTTCTAACTAATTTAGGTCAATACTCTTATCTAATCAGTATGAATGCACTTACGATTCTCCATGAGATTCAGTTGATTGTAAACAGAAATCAAATGATTTACAAGGTATTTTACTCGATTCGTAACAAACTCTAGCACATTCAGATTCTTCGATATCAAATAAGGTTAACACTGAATCTTTAACCAAACTTTGTCCCGGGAATTTACGGTAAAAGGCAACAAATGATTCTGTTAAAAAAAATTATATATACAAACAGTAACAATTAACTGTTTACATTGTTTCTAATTAAAATTGTTTACACAATTACGTGTAATAAACACCAATTAACTTACTTTCAAAGATGTTACAATTATCTGCATGTGAAGTTTTATCTTGTAACGATTTTGTTAGATTTTCCTTAGTCTCCATACTTAAGGTACACTCACGATGAGCATCATTACAATAAGAGAGAGTGTAACAATCATCATCATTTTGACACAATTTAAGACAATCAGAATAACTGACCCCTAATACTGTCGATTGACCATTGGCCGATGATAGACGACGAACTGGTGCAATTACTGTGTATTCATCACCTTTCAATGGATTAACTTGATAATCGGTTAATTCCTCTTCAAGGTTTCCAATCTCTTCAGGTCCACCAACTATGAACAAGTCTACAGCGGACATTGAATATTTGGTCATCATAAACTGACCATTATTCACCTTTGATTTAATTTGACTTAGAATTGATCTAGACGAGGCTAAAATGTTTCGCTCAATCACTGTTGATCCAACATCGATTGACCTTCGTCTATACCAAGTACATTCATCTTTCATGCTGATCGATGAGTAGGCCGATGCTGAACTGAATATTTGACACGTTGAATCGGAACAATATGAGAACTCTTTACAATTTAGATCATTGGTACAAAGTTCACCACAGTCTTCAAGTGCATCTCGAATCAAAATGGATGTTGGATTATCAATATAATATTGAGGATCGGGTTCGTAGTTGAATATAAATGGAGGTCGTTGTAATAACTTTCCCGTTATGTAATAATTACTGTCATACATGTTGACCACAATCTCTGGTATTCTAATTACCGGTATAAATGAAGTGAGACTTTGTTGGTAGTAATTTCGTATCTCATTGACATCCTTGACCTTGACTATATCATCATCTGACATGATAATTTGGAACCATGTAAACTGACCAGGCCCATCATAACATCCGGAAACATCAAATTGATCGGAAAATTGGATGTTAACTTGTTCAGTATAATCGATGAAATTGATTTCAATTTGATCTGGTAAATCTTGTTGTAATGGTAAACCTTGAGGATTAACTAGTTTAATTGATATTTTATTTGGTGCCTGATGGGGTTTTGATGATCTATCAATGGCCGGGAAATAATAGCTGACCACTGCGTCCATATTGTATCCTGATGAGAAGAAGGAGAAAAGTTTATCTTCCCAAATATCCATAAGTCCAGCATCTGTGTCCACTTGACCCATATAACAACCATAAGCTGCACTTGTTGAGGAAACAGTTTGAAGTAAATTAAAACTGGCCTCATAATGGTAAGGCCATTTGATGGCCAGATTATCCTCTTGAATTTCCTTATAATCAACATTGTCCAGTTGACACTGACCAGAAGAAACATCGACAATATATCGACCACGATGATTTGGATTCTGAATGATTCGTGTTGTATTAAATGATTCAGTTACCTGAAATGAATAAGTAGCTTGATATTTAACCATGTGAACAGATGAAATGGTCACTTTGTCCAATTGGCTATTACTTATCATCGCCTCCATGTCCAAGGAAAATGAATCACTTTGCAAAAATGACGGAACTGGAGGTAAACCAAATATCGACCGAGTACAAGCATAACCTAACGGGTAAGATACACGATCACTTGGTGATGTTTTAATCGGATTAAAGATTAAAAAATTGTAAACATGTGGATTATTTGTTGATGATGATGATGATGATGATTGACTTATACTAAATCTAAATGGTAAATTGTTTAAATCATCAAACCAAAAGTCAATCCAAATGTTTTCATTGAGACAATGAAACCAATGTTTCATTGATATTCCGTCAATATTTTCCGTTGCGACAAATTGAACCTTTTCACTAACACTTTTAGCCCAAATCATAAGTACAGTTGGTCCAAGATAATCCATATCACCAAAAAGTGTCGCTTGATCGGAAACCTGATCAGGAACTAACCATGAACCAATCGTAGTATACTTATCGTCCAAATTGAGTAAATCTGATTGGCAATCATCATTTTCAATGACATACTTTTCATTAGTTTCATGATAATAATATATTTCACTTTTAACTCCATTGAATAATTTGTTCACTTCAATATGACCAAACCTTTTAGCACCATTGTAATTATCATTGACCATTATGGACTCTTGTTGAGGTGTGATTATCTCAACGATTGCTGAAAATCCGGACTGTCCTTTGGTCAATGATAAAACATCGGGAACGATTGGTCCTCCAATTTTACCTCGAGCTGGACATGAATCACAATTTACCTTTAAAATGGTTAAACTTTGAACAGAAAGTATGAAAACAATTAACAAATTTGGCAACATGATTTACCTTTTCAACAATTAGTCTAATTGTTGAAACAAACTTGAGATTGGCTTTTGTAAAGTGTGTGTATTCAAGTTAATATTGGTATATATTAATGATAACAATTAAAGGCGTAAATTGTCATTGTTAATTGATGATTAAAAAAATCTTCAGTGCTACTAATTGTGACAATTAAATTGTTGGTGCATCAAATGATAACAAGTTCATGGTAATTGAATCATTGAATTTGAATATTAATCATGATGAATGTGAATCAAATGTGATTCGTTTCGGATATTTGATTTTACTGATTAAATTGTAAATCTTTGGAAATTACCAAATGATTTAAATTGTGTTACAATTTAATGTTGTTCAATTTACATAACTTTCTAATCATTTGATTGATTGTCTATCAATTTGTTTTGATTGCTTCATAATTATCAATTGTAATTATACAATATCTTTGATCATGAATAGTTTATTAGTAAATAACAACAATCAATTTGATATAAATAATTGACTGGTTGATTGTAGACTTAATTGGCTTGATTAACAAACTTTCAACAATCAAATTATTATTGTTGATCAATCATTTATTTTACAGCCTTGATTTAGGATATGGATTATGGATTATATTAACTATTGTGATATCGATGATGATTAATCAATTGTTGGTACAATTGATGACTGATTAGTTAATCATTAATTGATTGTGATGAGAGAGGAGGAGGGAGAAACACTAGGAGAGATGGTTAACAAAATCCACCCACCGGTGGACTTTTCAATGGAAAGGACAATTGATTAATTGTGACAATTTAACCTTATTGAATTGTTGGTAATCATGTTTCAGTTTAGTTAAATTGTTAAAAGGTTAATTTAGTCATAGTAAAGATAGAGACAATTAAAATGCTCGTTAATTGGTAATTGTGATTTAATCTAATCAGCTCTGGTTCTAAATATGAATCACACAATTGGATTAGATAAATTATTTGATTTTAATATGATCACTATTAAGATTATTTCATCTATTGTCAATTGATTGATGACCTTTAATTGTATTAGATACTTGGAAACGACTTAAGGTCACAAGTTGGTCATTGTGTTACCTTTGACCCATTTTCCTGTTGTATTGTAACGTGTTGATTGTTACTTTTGATGAAAGGTGATTCTTAGCTATTGAATATTATTATCGTTTCAATGTTAAATCAATTGACCAATTTACTGAAGGTGAAAGTGGTCAAGGTCATTTTCCGGTAAATTCACTCTTTGTGTCCACTATTTGTCAAGATACTTGGACACACATTGGTCTATTGTGTGTATTTGATTACATCCAGTGATGATAATGATCATCAGTCATCTTTGTTTTCATTTTTACAATAGCACAATAACATTAATTAAAAGGGTCAATTGGCCAATTTAAGGTCACAATATGCTATCGGTCACCATTTGGAAATGATAATAATATCATTATGTGTTGATTGATAATTCATTTTATCTAAATAGGATAAACTATTAGGACAATTTAAAATTGATTGAAATGACGATCCATTATTGTCATTGTCACTTGATGATGAGACTCATTATCATGGTCATTATTATTTACTAAAATTATAACAAACTAACTCGATGATGATAAATGTCCATGTTGTGGTCAACGACTTCTCTCTCTCTCTCTCTCTCTCTCTGGCATTTATTCTGCCCTTTAAATTGTTAAAATACAATTTATATTCAATTACGTTATTTAGGCCGCTAACTGTGCATACAATTAGATTATGTTGATTACTATTATTATTTATCATCATCGCTCTTATTGCTTCCTCTTTGTCAAAAAATTGTGTTATCATTTAGTGTCCACCCTCCTCTGGCCTTATCCTCCTCCGACTCTCTCACCTTAATTAGTCTTAAGAAAAATCCTTTTCCTCACTTTGATTGAATACCTTTCACTTGTGGATGTCATCCTCATCATCTTCATTCATCTTCCTTATACTCATGAATCATATGTTCCAAATGATAATGATGACCATCGATGATGATGATGTTTTCTGTCCAGTTTTAAATATCTCTCTCTCTCTCTCTCTTTTAATGTGTAATCTAAATCTCTTCTGATTATTGCCCTTGACTTAACAATTAACTTTCGATTAAGCTTTACGCTGAAACTTGATTTCTATGCCTTCTAATAATTATTACATCCTCTGGATTTTACTCTCACATGAAAGATGATGAGTTTCTCACTAATCACTAATTTCTTGGTCAGATTACTTTTGCTCTCTTATACACTAATTTAAATCTCATCTCTTTAACTGTCTTAAAAAGTTAATTGATGTAGCGGTTAATTACTGGGCCAACACACACATAAAAGTGAAAGAAATCAAAGCAAGAAGAGACTAAACTGTTACTGACCAAACAACATCTTTGGTTCACTGACCACTCATGTGATTATTATGCTTTTCAATTGATTGTTTTCTTGATTTTCTCAGGCTTTTCATTAATTATCTGCTTGTTGTCTTCATTTTCCTCTGGTAATATTCATATCCATTGATTCCCATTGTTAATCTATTAATAATATCTATTAATTATTAACTAATTAACGATTGATGATGTTTATTATTTCGTTCAACTGATTGAGTTTACTTTTTTAACTCCTTTTCCATTATTACCCAATCAATTGTTGTTAGAACAAGTTAATTACATACAATTAGTACTAGCTTTCCTGTTAAACGAATTTCCAACATCCTCATCTTATTTGAATGAAATGTAAATGTCTTAATTGTAAATACACTGACTGTTAATTAATGAATAATGATAATAATTATTTAATGTGTGAAAACGTTAAGGTGATTGTTGTTGTTAAAGGTTAATTTTTAATTAACTGTGTGTATTTGTTGTGTGTATTTGGGAGGCTGATCGGATCATTGATGTTTAAATTGACTCAATCAACATGTTAATTAGTTGGTACTCTTGATTATTATGATGAAATTTATGTATATATTTATGTAATATGTGATGGATAGATGATGTTATTTATATCAATTAACTTGGAGTCATAATCATGTCCCATCAAAACCTATGGTTAAATATTTTCGACAGGTTATCATCCTGTTCCCATAGATGATGATAAAGATGATAATCGATTCATAAAACGTTTTTTTCTTCCTCAGATTTACTATTTTACATAGATGACGAATGGTAATTAGGTGTAATCAGAATGTATTTTTGATGATGATAATGATGATGATGATGACCGAAAGTTAGAGAGATGATGATGATTGTGATGGTGATGATGATAATCTATCTTACGTGTGGTGAAAGATGTGATTGAGTGAAGTGGAAAGGAGGAGATGGTGAGGTGATGTGGGTAGAAACGACGGAAGATGATGATGAAGATGAAGATAAAATAGAGTTTTGAAAAAAAAAATTCTCTCTTTTTTTAGACTTGATTCGAGTTAATTTTTTTCTCCTCTCGCCCAAACTTGTTACTCTCCCTCTCTTTCTCATTCATCCTCCTTCTCATCTTCACCTATGTTGACGGCTACTTGCGTGCTAATTAAGATTCTTAGCACGAAAAGTAGACTTGATATAATGAGCTAAATAAGCAAAAAAGTTAAGGTTAAAGTTTCATTCGATCCTCAACTTGTTAACATGTTATTTCAGGTGCTACTTGATGATATCAATTTATGCAAGATTATAATGATGCATTCGATTCAATATTATCATTATCATTAAACATAATGTGAAAAAAACGTTATTTTTTGTTGTGTACATTTGAATTTCCGTTTGCATTTGCGGACAAATGAATACCTTTCCAATACTTAACGATAATGAACTTACAAACTATAAGTTATATTTAGACCTCTTTTTCCCATCACTGAGTCTCTATGGTAAAAGTAGTCGATAGTTAGAGAGAGAGAGAGCACAAGGTGAGATAAAATTCTACAGAAAAAGTTTCAATATATTCAATTAGCTAAGGCGTTTGTTTTCCAGGTAAAAAAACTGCAGCCGAAAACAAAGTCTGCAGCCAATAAATTGTTTCATTTGTTTGACCGCACTAATAGTTACAAATTAACATGACCAGAGTATAAAAAATGCTCTCGTAATAACAGGTTTCCATGATTATTTGAAAGTTGACCAGTTGACCTCTTGCTTTTCACTCACTCACTCTCTCTCTCTCTATTATTTACTAGAAAAAACTCATCAGTTAATTTTTGGCACACTCCTTACTGATGTTAATGATGAACCTTTTTTTTAATACTAAGAAACGCTTTCATTTCATTAGCCTCTACTTTCATATCGACTGCTACTAATGATGATGATAATGATAGATGATGATGATGAAACGATCGTATCTTTTTAGTCCTTGGTGTTCGAGGCCCGTTTATCTGAAACTTTCGAGCAGATGTAACTTTTTTTGGCCTTTTTTTATTACCTTATAACTCGTTTACCTTTTTTCTTTCTTACCTTGATGTACATTTTAGCTCCAGGTGCTTGGTTCGATCCAGATATGATTATCATTGGTGAGTAATTGTAATAGCCACTGGCACGGTGGCTGGTGCTGGAGGTGATGGTGCTAGAGGGGTTGCTCTTAGTTTCTTGTGTTCGTGTGCGTGTTTGTGTTTGTATGTGTGTGTGTTTGTCTCTATCCAGAAGCAGCATCGTTAACTCATTATGACGAATGTCGTGGTTATCAAGTTTTATTTTTTCGCTTCTTTATCATCCTTCTCTCTTTTCTACAAAACAGGTAATGAAGAACTGACCCTTGGTCAAGCTCGAGTTCAAATGGCTGTCTGGTCAATCTTAGCTGCTCCATTATTAATGTCCAATGACCTAAGGAAAATTAAACCCGAATTTAAAGAGATACTTTTAAATAGGAAGATAATCGCTGTTGATCAAGATCCTATGGGTATGATTCGTGCTTTTTATTTTGTACTATTTGTACATTTCTATTCATTTTCGTGGTCCTTTTGTTTTCTGTCTTTCGTCAGGTATTATGGGTGAAAGAGTTTACAATTCAACTGACCTACAAATTTGGGTTAAACCCATTGAACCTTTGGTTGAAAGTAAACCCAGTTTCGCAATTGCCTATGTAAACTTAGGTGGAGCTCAGAATGTAAGTTAATTGTTGGTTTTTGTGTAATAATTTAAAAGTTAATTGTGATTGTCTTTTCCTGGGATAATTGTATAATTTGTTTCTTCTTAGTTCTCATTTAAACTTGGTGATATATTAACTGGTAAAAATGCTGCATCAAGTTACTCAATTGAAGATTTGTTTGGAGATGAACATCTTAGCTCACCTTTAACCCTTTCAGCCAATTTGACCCTTAAGGTTGGAGGTGATGGAGATGCCCGAATGGTCAAGATTATACCAAGAGATGGTCTCGTCCTTGAACCAATGTCCTCTAACGAAGTTGATCAATTTTGATAACTTACATGATAACAATTGAGAAAAATATAAAAACTAAACTCTGGATACAATCAACTTTTTTCCCTCCCACCGATAGACAATATTAATCATTGATTCCTATTAACTATATTTTCCTATCAACAATTAACCTTTTGCATACTCAATTTACAGCTAATTTACTCACACAATAGTTTATCTACCTTAACCCATTAAAATTAACCACTATGAAAATTTAAACAATTTAAATCACAACTCAATTAACGTAACAATTAACCATCAACTCTAGAAACTTAGTTACCTTTTTTTTTTTTGGTTTTTGCTGTTGCTCAAATTAACTCAATTAACAAACTAAATTCATCATCAGCAAAAAACCTTGACTATGAAAACATCAACAAACAATTAACTTTAATTACAATTCAAATTGATTAACCATAAACATCAAATGAAAATTAGATTCACTTTGCATCGTTGTGGTTACAGTGGCCGTTTTTTACAAAACCACAATTAGTTAATCAAAAATGATTACAAAATGCACAATTGAAATTACATGATAATATACTCACGCAAACAAAGATATCATCATCATCATCATCATCTTCATCTTCATCATCCTCATCACTTGTATCAAAGTAACAAAATTTTACAATAACTTTCTCACTTGATATTCACACCAATTGGTTACACTACACAGGTAAGATGATGATGATGTAAAAAAAGATCAGGATAAAAAACAAGGCAATCAGTTAATTGCATGCTAGTCTCAATCCTAATCATCTTACTTGTAGACACAATCAATTTAATTGTGGTAACAATCAACGATCAACAAACTTTGTTAACTTTGAATTTTCCCTATGAATTTTTATTTTGCTTGTTACTTTTGGTAAGTAAACCTTTACCTAGAGTTTTAATCATTGACAAATAACTTTATTATCCAACTAGATTAACTTATAATCAAAAATCACAATCAAAAAGCTATTTTTTTTCAACTATATTAATACAACTACTTGTTGATTGTTGATTGATGTTTAACATCATCATCATCATCATCATCATCATCGTAATTACAATTTGATTTGTATTCCGTTGCTGTTAATTCAGACTCATTATTATTATTATGCTATTTGTAAACCAGAAAAAAAAAGTTATCATTAACTTGATTGTTGTTTGCTTGTTATTATTTTATCAATAGTATCAATTTAATTTAGATGGTAAAATGTAATAAACAATCAAACAACAATCAACATCTTAAACCAGTAATAATAATAGTCAAATGTTGATAAATAATAATGTTAATTACATGATAATAAATATTATATTTCATGGTATTAAATATAAGGTTTATACAAAATAATGATGATGATTAAACGTAACGCAATAATTATCAAGATGAATTAATAACTAATCCTTAATTGTTGTATTCTAATTAGTAATGTATGATAATAATTGTTTACACTTTTAACAGTTAATTCTTGTTTGATTTAGTTCAATTAACAGTCTTGATTAACTTAAATACTACCGAATGATAATTACTAATATTACTCTTAACATGATCAAAGTATAATTACAATTATAACTTTTTAATTGTCGAAAGGTAAAAACTTTTCATTCTTCAAGTGAAAGTTTTCCCCTTGTAAAGATAATAAAAAAGATCGGATTAAGATTAGAGAGAGAGAGAGAGAGAGAGAGAGAGAGAGAGAGAGAGAGAGAGAAATGATTTATCAAATTGTTCCATCTTATTAATAACAATTAAATTCGAAAGTCTCTCTCTCTTATTTACTTAATCAATTAACAATCGATAGTAATTATTATCGAAATGAGCTGACGTTGCAACGATTTTTATATGGAAAGACAAGAAAATGCTAACGAAGTGAAATTAAATATCGTTACTTTCGGATCTTCTTTAACTTTATCTTTCTCTTTCTCTCTCACTTTCTTTTCTCCTTGAATCTTATATATCTCTCTTCCTCCCCTTAAATCATGAAGATGATGATGATGATAATTATCGCAATTACCTTTAAGTCGTTAATTTCATTCGTATCTCTCCTGTGAATGTTACAATAATGAGTTAATTAGTTGGTTCCCGTTTTTTGATTTTTTTAATCGTAAATGAAAATCTGGATACAAAGTATCAACTTTTTCTTTTAGCATTTTGATTAAGAGATTATCTCTTTCTCTCTCTCTCTTACTGGATTAACTTGAGTATGGATTTTATTACCTTTTCTGTTAATCACTTATAATCATGAAGGATAATTTATATCACAAGTGATTGATAATCAAGATTGTTAAGAGGAAAACTTTTTCTCGCTGGTAGATTTGGTTTTTTTTTCTTTCTCGTTTTCTCAATTTTTCTTATTACCTTTTTCTGTTAATTATAATAGTTTTAAAGTAGAAGATGAAAAGAAACTTCTTTCCAGTGGTCAGCTTTTAGCGAGATGACCAGTGAATGAGACTCATTATCCCTGAGGCGAAGCATCTTAAGTCTAATCCTTTGAAAAAAAAATTATTCCAACGGATTTTGGTTGAAAAAGATTTTCAAAAATCTTGACCACTCCTAAAATCTTTGTCTCTATCTCTCTGTCTTTTTGCTTTCTCTCGCCTTGACCATTAAGTGTGTCCATCTTTGTGGTTGGATTAGCTCACAGATTCACTATAATCTAATCTTAATCCGTTAAAATCTCTTTTTGTTTCTGGTTTCTGGTAAATTCTGATTTCTACCTGTTCAACTAATCAACTGTTTCCTTATACTTTTTTTCTGCTCCAAAATTTTATCTGATTTTTGATTAACTCCCTTTTTCTGTAACAATTAACTAATTTTTATTGTTATTTGCTAATAATTAAAGGGGAAAAACAATCATAACAATTAAGGAAATACACTTTTTTTTGTCAGTAAATTGTTGTTTTCATTTCCTAATTCAGGTATCACAATTTGATTCTTGATTGATTGTGACTGATTTAAAATTGATTCATTTGACTCATCACAATTTATTAGTTAAATTGTCAATTGTTACTAATTATGTGTCGATAGAATCACATTTAACCTAAATTAAAGTCTCCCAATGATTAAAACAATTAAGATTAGTCAATGTAGGAAATTAAAGGATTCATTTGATATTAATCACTAACAATCAATAGGGTGATCAGGTGATTAACTAATTGTAACAATTTAACTGATTGATTGTTGTAAATGGTAATAAAAAAACAATGGAAATTAATAAAAGAAATAAATTTTTCCACAAAATCAACTGATCATAATTAACCCTTTTCCTTGTTGATCAAGATATTGATGATGATGATGAGGGGCGGATGATTATCATTGTGTTTATATTAGGGAGAGAGAGAGAGAGATGAAGATGATGAGGATGATGAGGAAGAGGAAGAGGAAGAGGAAGATAAGATTGATGATTGTCAATGTTACCCAATTGTGATCAGATTAATTGGATGAAGAAATAAAAATGAAAGTAAAGTGAAAGTAATCATAACTTTCTGTTGATTAACAATTAACTTGATTGTTTGTAGTTAAATTGATGATGAAGACAATTGAATCAAGTGTTAGATTATTGATTTGATTGGCAAATAATAAAAGATGCTGATTGTTGATGATTGAAAAGGGAAAATGTATTAATTATTAATTGTTTCAAGACAATTAACAAAAAGTTTGAGAAATTTTTTTTATTCAATAAGGATCCAGATTGTAATCAATTGATTGTTTACAATTAATCAATTGTTAGTCAGTTCATCCTAATTCCCGGTTGATCAATTACCAGTTTATCACAATCAATTAATTTTGATTAACTTTTTACTAGTTTTAATTGTTTGATTGTTGTCACTTGAATTGTTTTGTATAAATCTGATTATTAATTATCTTTATATTAATCATCACAACAATTAAGAGAAACATATTTTTAAAACTAATACAATCAATTGATTAAATTGTACACCTCTTAAATTGTTATTAGTATAAGTGTCTAATAATCACAATGGTATTACAATTAATTGTTACAATTAGAAAGTGAAACTTTAACCAAACAATTAACAGTAAATTAATGAGATAATTGCTAACATGGTGATGAATTAATCAATTGATTAGTAAATTTCATCTAATAAATTGAAAGGTAAAAAATTAAATTGCTTGAGGGCTGAAAGAAAAGTTATCCAACTAAATAAGACATTAAATTGATCACAATTAAATCAATTGATTTGCAATAATTATCATGATTATGATTAAAGTGAAAACAAGAAGATGATGATAAAACATTGAAGAGACAAATGATAATGATGATGATGATGATGATGATGATCAATTTACCTTGTTAATTGCAACAATTTGCAATATTATCTCGTCCCCTGTAATATCACTAAGATTAGTTTCCACTTAATTAAATTAATTAGTGTCTCTTTTGTTGTACAAAGTATCAAAGTTCAATTTCTCATCCTCATCCTTATCCTCATCTTAATCATCATCATCATCATCGTCATCATAATATTAGTATTGTTCATCTCTCTCAGTTTTACTGGTTGATAACAATAAATGGTTACAATGTAATTAAAAGTAACAATTTATTTCTCATCAATTTCCTAGTTTATATTAAGTTCAACACTCATCATGATCATCAATCAATCAAACAATCAATTCACAATTAACCAGGTGAATCAATAGACAATCAACAATAGTGGTAACAATTAACGACAACAGTAAACAAATAAACAAACTTGTTAATTGTTGACTCGAAATTAAAACAAAGAGAACGAGAGAGAAAAAAATTCAATTTTTTTCACAATTTAATTCATCATCATTGAATGAACATCATCACCATCATCATAAGATGCTGTTCATGGACAAAGATGATAAAAAGATGAGGCTCTTATCATCTTTGGGGATCACTTTTCATGATGATGATGATGATGATGATGATCGTCCTCTTTTCACCTTGACAAAAGTATTTGCAAATAAATTGTTAGCAATATGATCACTTTACTGGTCAGTTTATTTTCTCGCAATGATTAATGGTCAGAATCATAGTAATGTAATGATAACATCAATGGACATCGTTAATTTCGAGATCGTCATTAATTTTGATAGTAAAAGTAACAAGAAGCTAAATTTGATAGCAATTAAGATATAACATTTAACTTGGAAAGAGAGAGAGAGAGGTAAATTAATTGTAATTAAATTGATTGTAAATTCAGGTAACAACAAGTGATTTAAAGTTGATTAACAGTTTTTGATTTATTAATACAAA